TATATTTCCCATACCTCTTTGTGTTTTTCCATAGTGGCATAGAGTTTCTGTGAAAGGTCGTTGGAGACATTGGGCATCCCTGGCTTCTTCTTATTGGCTCTGCTCAGGCTGCTCTTATTCTTGCTCGTCTTCTTGTTGTTCTTCTTCTTTGCATTTTTACTGTCACCTTTCGTGTCCTGCACAAGAAAGAAGCAAAATATAAGCAATCACCTGACGAGAAACCTTTCTTCATAATGCCATTTTTTCACCCCTCTCCCGCATAGCGACATATATAGTCTTAATATGTATAGACTCATCACAGCATTCTTACATCAATGCTCTCATTGGAAGTGCTGTTCTCCTCCCTTTTCCTCTCCTCTTCCTCCTGCTCCAGCTCTTTGATGCTCTCCTCCAGCACATTGGGCCAAAAGTCACCCTCAAAGTAAGGCAACTCCTTCGCACTGGTCAAACGATCCTCTGTCGCCTGCTTGAAGATATCCTGTTGGGCCACATTGGAAAATAAGTTAATCTTTTGCATGGATGGGATCCATTCAGTCAATACTGTCAGCTATACCATGACATGCTTGTAAAAGAAAAGGTCTCAAACTCTGAATCTCAAAATGACCATTCCTCCAACACGTACAAGAATAAAGATGAATACTGCCTCTAACCTTGTAATCGTGCACTATCCTCTCTGCCACAGCTTTGTCTAACATCTTCTTGTACCACTCCTGGAGGCGTTTGGGCTTTGGGATCTTCTGATCTGCAGGGTGACAGTGGAAGATGTAGTCGTCCCCTTCACTTGGTGGACAGGCCCAGATGTGCCCAGTGGTGTAGCTGAGGAGGACACGCGAGAGAACGTACATAATAAGCAAAATTCATTTAAAGACTTAAGTACGTTTTGTGACAGGACAAGCGTTCAGACACCAAAATAAATGTTTTCTTTGAGCAGCAGAACTTACCCCAGCTTCCTGACATATTCCAAGTAGCCAATGAGGATTTCATGGTAGACGGCAGTTCTTAGACAGCGAGGCCGGAAGAAGTGTACACTGTCCAGGTAGGAGATGTATACTCGCCTGAGTGGGTGGAAAAAGGACATGTTAATGTATCACAACAGCTGAAATACAATCTGAAATTGATCTTTTAAAAAAATGATTCCCTTTTCATGAGAAAGAAAAACAATGTCTCTAACATGGTGATATTGCCCTTACCTCTGGTTGGGCTGAGGGCAGTCAGATCCGTACTCTTGAACATGCATACCAAAGAAGCAGACATCTGCCCCGTCAATGTCCTCAAATGCAAAAAGGGCTTTTGTCCTGTATGGGAAAGACTCTGACATCTCTCCGCTGTCCACAAATCTGTAGACAAAAAGGAGAAAGAAAAAAACATAAATCTAAACTTACTGACTGTAAAATAGAAAAATCTTCACTAATAAACTTGAAAATTTTGTTAGCTTCTGAGTACAGATACATTTCTTCTATACTTGCACTAAATTCTTTAAAATTCTGTAAAAAAAATAAACAAAAAATACAGCAAAATCTGTTAATATATTTCACACACAAATGTGGCTGTGAGCAAATAAGACTGGCATCTCCAAATCTTGATGGGAAGAGAAAAATTAGTTTGTTCACTCTCAAGTTCAGCAATGTGTCTTGTTTTTGTACCTGGACTTCATGCCTGGTTTGACCTCCACCACTTTGTCAGAGACGTGGACAACGCGAATAAAGACTTCTCCAGCCTCAGGGTGGATCTGACGCTTGAGGAAGTCATTCACCCTCACCTCTAGGTAACTGCCCAATTTCGTCTGAGGCAACCCTGTATGGGTAAAGATTTTTTTGTTTTAGTTTAGTTAACTTGACGGCTGGTAAAAACAGCAGAGAGAAAAAATAAGCTACAAGAAATAATCCAAATATGTATATGTGTGTTCATTGAGTTGGTAAATGGTGACCATATGGGATTAATATGTGACAGCAGTCTCATATGAATAGAAAACAAAAGATCAGGATAAAACCACAAGAAGCGTGGCCACTTACGTTTGGCAGAGTATTTGTTCTCTTTCCTGGTTTTGTTTGTCTTCTTTAAGCAGCCGTCACATACAAAACTGTGGGAAAAAAAGTCCGTTGAATCAGTTGGATAACATCAAAACAATATTTAGCAAACTATCTTAGACATTCCTCTGAGAACAACTGAAATGAGAAATTGCTGCTCACCCTGAGGGCCAGATTGTTTCATGGTGCAAGACACAAATCTGATGCATCCTGCGCCCACAGTCCATACATTCAACAAGCCTGGAAAGAGGGACAGAGATGAGGAGGCAAATTACATACTGAAGTCCTCAAAACAAATTTGGTTTAATCTTCTTTCCCAGATGCTAATATTTGACTTTTGACGAGCAGTTAACTTACAGCTCAGGGTCCAGTGTGTCGTTCTTCTTCTTTTCAAACTGCTCCTTGTTAATCGATCTGAAATCAATTAAGAGAGAGTATGACGATATGTAGAACAACAAGAGGCAATTGTCAATATACAGCAACAACAACAGAACTGTTGAGTACAGGCTGCTGTAAAATTAGATTTTAAAAACAAGTCACATAGCTAATATTATCAGGAATGTGGCTGGAAGATGACCAGAGATAGTTCATGAAAAGGCAGTACTAGGTTTTAAAACGTCAGGACGATCACTTTTCAAATAGAACATTTGAAGGGAACATATTATGCTCATTTTCAGGTTCATACTCACGTCTGTGGCTGGGTGGGGTCGTCGCCCAGGGAAACCGTCTCTCCCTGGATCTCGTTGAAGCACTTCTCGCAGAAGTGGTACCTGTCAGCAATAAGCCCAAATTTTGGTGAACTACACCATTCCCCGCAGCACAGTCAATCACAGACAGCGCACGGGAGGGCAGTCACCAATTGGTACAGGACATGGGCAAGGCAGGGTGCCACAAGCGGGGCAAGCAGGAAGTGGGAGCGCAGGACAGCAGGAAGTCGTCATCGCAACAGCCAGTCATGATTTTGAGGGGTGAGGGTGAAGGAGATGGGAGGGGATGGGTTTGGAAGTGCATGGTTGTTCAAGGCAAAAGCAAGCCAATGTTGATGTCACAGCCATCGGAAGGGAGGACAGACAGGTCAAATGGACCAGGGACAAGACGAGACGAACATCCAAGACAACACACAGCAGAGAGCCGAGGCAAAGCACAGATTAGCAATTTGGACATGAGAGGATGAGCAACAACAACAAGCACCATCACAGCTAACAGAGCAGGAGCAGAATCAACGGGAGCTAAACGTGAAAAGGGAACTGGAGCAGGAAGTGGCAGCACAGGACATAATACAGACACTGAACAAATATGAAGTAAGCACAGACAGCTGCTCAGCTGTTCATCCATTCAAGCAGTTCATTTTAAAGTCGGTCCTTTCACATTCTAGTAAGGTTTTCATGGGTGTGTAAAAAGAAAAAACTGACAGGAAGAATCAAAAAGATGTTGAGTGGAGTCTGCAAGGAACCAAACCCCATGTTGAAAGAGCAGTAAGAAAACTTGCATTATTGCTGCTTCCTCCAAAAAGAAAATGCCACTTCAGGGTGCTGTGAGACCGTTTAAAAGATCATTTCATGCAAAAGCACAAATAGCACTTCAGAAACATGATATTTTCTTTGCTTTGTCTGTGCAGCCTTTTCTTTAAACACTGACAAATACCTTTTCAAACATTCTGTGTTGAGGTGTTATTTATAGGTAAGTTTAAAGACACCAAGAACAACTTAAAGAATGTGAGAAGAAAGGACCGACTGTTAAAATGCCAGTGCATTAGGCACCACACGGAGGTATAAAAACGGGGAACATGAGGTGAAGGGAAGCATTTGGGGAAACATAATTAATCAGATGCACACTATAGATAGTCTCTTTATCCAATTTATCTCTTCTATAATGCCTTCCTCTTTTACTGACCCATCCATCCATCTAGTTGCCTCTCCACCCTTTAATACATGGGCGTTTCACTCCCTCCATACCTGTTCTGGTAGCTGAAGTAAGCAGCATCTCTGGGAATAGTGCACAGCTGCTTTCCGTAGCAGCACAGTGTCTGAGGAGAGAACTCCAGCTGATGGGCAGAAACAAAAACAAGAAAAAAACAACATTAATTTCTTGACCATCAACAACGGTAACTTAAGTCACAGCCCCTAAGCTAATCAAACGTACACAATATGAATAAGATCTCTGTAGGCTTCCAGTGGTAGTTCACCTTAACTGCTACTGCATGTGATACAACAAACCTAGTCAAACATGACATGTAGTTTATGAATCACCAGCTTAGTTTTGTTATAAAAAAGTTATTATAGCTAAAGAAATGTTTAAAAAAAATCCTCTGCTTTGTCTCATTGTCAGAGGTAACCCTTCAGCTAGCCTTTCATAATAAGGGCCAATCACTTTTGTTATTTGTCTGCAAAACCAAAAATAGCAGAGTCTAATGAGAGCTGAAACGTGATATGGCGTCGGCATGCCCAAGGCCAAATTTAGCTATGAACCCACTTCACCACTTCCATTTTCAGATGTGAATGATGGGAGTTAATTTCTACATCTTAAACATACAACATTCATACACACCATCTTATCCAGTCACATTCTCACGACGTACACAACGTCATACACTGAAGTTAAAATAAATGACATGCTACGTGTTGCCCAAAACAAATGAAGCTACTTTTAAAACTCTGGACATTTGAAACCTGGGGAAATTAAAACTTTTTTGGTGTCATCGTTCAGCCTCTAACTTTATCAAGTAAAGACTTAATGTGGTGAATAGAGTGGTCCTATACAGACAAAATACTGACTGACTTCATCCAACATTCCTTCTTACACTTGAGCATCTCAACATCAAGACTTTCTCCTCAATTTTTACACTATTGCCCCTCACCAACATACATTTCCATTTCAACCCATCCATCACTCTGTCTCACCTTCCTCCCACAGCAGTAGCCAAGGCTCTGCATGACGGGATCAATCTCTTGCTCGAAAACCTCGGCCAGCTTGGAGCAGTACTTGTACACCCTGGATGTTTTGCGGTTGTACAGCCAGGCGTTGTTGAACATGAGCCAGATGTCATCCACATACTGCCAGGGATCCTGGTACTGACCTACAACCAAAACACAAAGCATGAAATGAGGAAACTTTCCAAACTAAAGGCAGCTGCCACATTGGAGCATCTCCTATTAAACGGCTAAGAAAAAGCCATGTCAAATAAAATAGAGACAGAACACTATTCTTTGTAACACAGCATGACAAATGGTGCAGTGCAGCAGAACACAAACTCATAACTCGATCAAATCTATACACAAGTTCATTCATCTTTAATTGTGGTCTATTACATTTCCCAGGAATGACCAAACCTTGTAATAATAAGCAGCATGTACTAACCTGTATCCAGTTTGCGTTTGATAGTAGACAAATCCATTGGGTTCTTCACAATATCAAAGTAATCCTGCAAGAACACAAAGGGCATGTGTTTACATTGAGCAGTTAAAACGTTTGGCCCAGTTTTGTGAGTAAATCATACACACAAATAAAGCAAAACATATGGAAACTACATCCTGGTAAATACACCACAAGCAACAGCAGTCAAGAGATGTAGGATTTCTGCTCAAATTCTTAAAGCGAGGGAACTACACCAAAGACAGTAAAGACCATGACACTTTCAACTAAGCAAGCAAGAAGAATACACTCAGTGACATGATGAACACCAACAGGGACAAGGCAGTTGATACAAGGGAGAGGAATTTATACATCTCGACATCAGCGGGGATACATACAGGTATGCACAGCAGTTGTGGGTCTACAGGCATTCTGAAGGGCAGAGACTCTGGATCTTGTCTGTAGAGAGACTCGAGTGTGGGCATCAGGGCCTGACGAAGCTCCTCTGGCTTGAAGACTGGAAGAAATACAGATGAGAGAAGAGAATGGGATGAAAGAGTAATCGGAAAATTTCCTCTCCCTTTGGATTCCATTACAAAAAAAGAAAACACCCAATTTGAATCGATTATTATATATAAGGAGATGTTTAGAAAGTGCATGTAAGATCAGAAGTTATACTTACTCTTCTTTTTCACTGGAACTGGTGTAGCTGCCTCCGAAGACTCCTCTTCCTCTTTCACCTCCTTCTTTACCTCCGGTTTCCTGTCTTCTGTCTTGACACCCGATGTCGGCGTTGTTGCCGATGTGTCCATGGGAACCCCTTTACCTCCCTCTCCGGTACACTCCTCCTTTTTCAGCTCTAATTTCACAGGCTTTTCCTCTGTTTTGAGGTTGCTGAGCTTCCCTCCTTTGGAGCAACTGCCGGTGTCGCTCTCCTCCTCCTCATCCTGCTGCTTGACCTCCATCTTGGGGTCGAGGTTAGTGGCTGAGGCGTTCGACTGTGGTTGCTGGGAGGAAGTGTCCAGACTGCTGACAGAGGCTGGAGTCAGGGCCTGACTGTCCGCTGGGAATGAACCCTTTTGGGACAACTACAGAGAGACATAGAAACGAGCATGGAAATTGTGATTATGACAAAGTGATGCATGAAGGCCAACAAGACAGGATACTCTGACGAGATGGAAGGTTTTGAGTAGCTAAAAAGGTGAAGCATGGGACAAATCAAGACACCAAGGATGCACAGTTAAATCATAACTGAGGCAAGGATAAAATGTTTGGTCTCATGGTAAAGACCAGGTAATACATGGGGAAGCAACAGGTTAAAATAAATTTTACATATTGAGACATGAGTTACTGATACAATATCAATGAAATAAGTAGGTAATATGCTAAATCACACTAACCGGAGTGCGTGGCAGCTGAGCACCGTGCGGCGTCGAGCTGGAGGCCAATCCGGGATGAGATGGAGTGGTTGAACCAGCCGGCCCCATATGCTGCTGCTGGATGGGCTTGTTAGAGCCGGGGCCCTGACCAAGCTGGTTCTGCTGGGGGGCTGAAGGTGGACCCAGCTGTGGTGCGTTAGGGGTGTGAGGCTGTGGGGTCTGGGACCCGGCTAGTCTCGGGGGTGTTTGGTGAGGAGTAGGAGATCGGCTGTGAGCGGGGGACCGGCTGTGAGCAGGGGAGGGTGAGCCACGCATGGCTGCTAAATGGGGGATGGAGTTGGGTTGCTGGTTTGTGTTAGATGGAGTCATTGAGGAAGCGGGGGCTCCGACGGCTGAGTTGGGACCTGCACCACCCACGCTCTGAGGACCCATGGGCCCCACTGTGGAGACGCCACTGGGACCACTGGCTGAACCTGGCTGTGCTAGAGGACTAGCAACTGGAAGCGAGGGAGGAGTGCCCATCTGTGTCTTAGGAAAGAGGAGGATGAGAGTGAAGAGAAGGGTCACAGACAGGAAGGGTGCACAGGAAGAGGGTCAATAAAAGCTGTGGTTCAAGAAGAACTTAATGCATGACATCACTTTTAAGACCAGTGGTTTCATTTTGTTTTTTGTTTTTTTTTTTACTATAGGTGCTTTTTATTTACATTTACACAGGATTTTTTCAGAACACTTAATTTATGAATGTATTCCTGAGCCAGAGGGTCCTGTCCTAAACGGTCCCTAAGCTGGGGTCCTGGTCTCTGATGGCACAGGACTCATTAAGGAGTCGAGTGTTGCATTTTACACTAGCATCTACCACCCTCCAACTTTAGGATGTACACTCAGACACTTTGAGACCTAAAGATAAAATCTACTGATTGCACTGTAGTTGCATCCTCACAATCTTTCCTATCATACCAAATGCTTAAGACAAAACTAATGTTTATGCTTCAGGATAAACCTCAGTCCTCGGTAAAGACTTGACTGTAATTTGCCACACATCCCTTATTAATAAAACTCTGACTAACAGGAAAATTAACTTAGGCCACCTTACCTGTGCTATGCCTGCCGGTACGCCAGGTTGAGCCATCCCAGGCTGAGCTGCTCCAACTCCTGGTCCTGAGCCAGGAAACTGTCCCTGGGACAGATACTGGTTCTGCAGCTGGTTGACATTAGGCTGCCCCATCCTGGGTCCGACCATCCCCATCTAAAAGGTGTCAAGGAGCATTGGCAGGGGTTAAAAATGCCTACACAACACTTTCTGCCAAAGTAACATTTTTGTAAGCTAGTTTGTAACAATTAATTTTCTCTATGCTGAAAAACTTTCAAAACAACACACTCTTATAGCCACTATGTCAAACGGTACAAGGAAGTAAATTCTTAATTGTGTTTAGGGATACAATAAAAACAAAACTGTCATACATGGGGAGTGTTCAGTACTGACCTGGTTGCCAGGTGCTCCTATGGGGAGAGGAGGTGTGGATCTCTGGCCCATAGACTGCATGCCTATCTGATTGAACTGATTCATACCTGACAAAACACAGAGACTGTTATGACAAACGACATAATATTCCATATGGAAACCACACTACATATTGTATTTTGTTCATAAATAGTTCCTGTGCCAGTGCAGCAGTGCGGTTTCCATGTTGTGTAAAAGTGACATGTCAAAATACAACTTTGTGTCAGACTTTGGGTCATGCGGTGTGCCCTGGTGGCCCTATTGGTTCTTTACCTGGGCCTTGCATCCTGTTGACCATCTGATTAGGTCCAGCTGGTCGCACCATTGATGGGTCAGGGAGGGGACCATCTGTAAAAACAGAGACAGGAGAATGAAAAATCAAGCTGTCATCTGTGCACAGGAGAGAGGGAGAAATGGAAATGCCCTCCACGTGTGGGAAGTTTGCACAAACAAAATGTTAAATCCTTTTTTGTTTTTTTTTGTTTTTTTAGTCAGAAAAGATAAGGGGCACTTTGAAATAATTAAATAGAGACACCTAGTAATGCAGTTTGAAGCTTTTTAAAAAGATCTGTGGGGCAACTGATTAATAATATGTGTAAAATCTGAACCAATTCAAGACAAAGACTGACACAAGCTACTCTACTCGGAGGCCCAAGCGTGACAAACTGTGAGAAAACACTGGAAAAGGTGTAATGCATGGCCAAAGTAACAGAGGAAAAAATAGGATCCAGTTAATCCCCTTCTCAGCTCTAACATTTTCCAACCATGCTGGATGATATCAAAACTGTCCAATAAGCAAACTATGGGCAAGTCCATCCAAAAACAGAACATCAAGATAATACAATGTGATACAAATAATCCTGCAGTCACACAGCATTACTTAAATCTTAAACCATGAGGTAAGCGATACAAAGCAATGCTAAAATGTCCGAATGTCACATTCTGCTGGATTAAATTATCATTCACATGAATGCGTGCAGCCCAGCGTAACATGAGCTCATCCAGATCTCCATTATGCTGCATGGCCACTCACTTGGAGGCAGTCCAGTTGGGGGCTGACCCATGCCGGCAGGCCCGAGGCCCAGACCCTGCTTCTGGAGACGGGTCCTCCTCTTCTCCTCCAGCTCCTTCTGGATTTTGTAGATCTTCTCCGCTAGCAGATGATAGTACTCAGCCTGTCAAAAAGAGGGTGACAAAGTAAGGAAAATGCTGCTGGGGGGGTAAACGTCTCGAACATGGAGGAGCGGTATAGAAAAAAATAAACTTATGACTGTCTAATGTTGAAATAAAACTTCAATGAAAAAACTTTTGTAGGACTTCCGAGTTATCAACAGAATAACACACAGGAAGGGCTTCAACGAGTAACAACAGTAATTCACCAGTCCAGCTCATACCCTCAAGGTTTTCACCTACGCCCAACAATGTTTTTGTTTCTGAGTAGCACACTGAGCTAAAGGAGAGAGAAACTTACTCTACTGTTTGCTGACTCATACATGTCTCCCTCAACCTTTCTGGCATAGGCCACCAAGTTCTCCATTCGCCGGTCCTTGAGAGCAGCAGGATCTGGAGTCGGAAAGATGGCCTGGACACTGTGGGTGGGAGAACAAACAGACAACGTAAGCAAAACAGGAGGAAAGGAGGTAGGAGATGAAAAATTAAATTGTTACCTTCTGCGTCAGACAAAGTATTACTTTAACACTATATGTCTTTTTTAGTCCCTTTGAGAGCGTTTCTGCGTGGTTACCTGTGTTGTAGCTCAGCTAGCAGCTCTACTACAAGGGGCACTACCTAGTGAGTCTTTGGGAAAGTGCCAGCGCAAAGTCATAGCACGGGTGTTTACTGTAGTGAATGTTATGGCCTGCCACTGAAGAAAAGTACATTTCTCATTCATGTATGACATCGTCTCTCCGCCAGTGCTTAAGAAAGCTTGCTAATAATACTAGCAGCTATGTGTAAGAGACACAAACTGGGGTTTCGGTCAACCAGCTTAACCGAACTGTCAAATCCAAGCAGACACATACAAGTGTCTACCACTGTCTACACTCATACTAGTGATTCTTATACACACAATGTGCGTATTGTTCGAAAGATAATTTGTAATAACATAATACGCTAACGAGAATATGATTAAAAGTACGGTGCAAACAAAATTGTAGTGTGTAGTTCATCTTTAATACTTACAGTTTGTGTACCAAGTGGTTTCGTAGGTCCTGCGTGATGTCCTCATGCCAGCTTTTCCTCATGCCTGAGGCAGAGGGAGGGCCTGCTGTGGGCATGGAGCCAACCCCACCAGCATCATTCATCAGACTGGGAGAGAGAGAGAGGGCATAATTTTAATGATTAATTTCTTTAAAAAAAAACAAGACAGACATGTGTCTGCCCTGGTCTGATGTAGCCATGATGGATGCTTCTAATCAATGTATCTGCCAAATGGCACGTATGTGTTCCTTCTTACCCTTGGCTGTTCACATTGAGGTGCATCATGGTATCCTGCAACAGGCTGGCTTGTTGACTCTGAGGGGAAGCTCCCACACCTCCATTGACTCCCATAGGATTCCCACCTACACACGGAAAAGGACAAGACCTTATAAGCTGAATTTCTTGAGTTCCCCTACTAATAAAAACAGTCATATACCTTGGATATATGTAATGTCTTCACACCACATGGCATCAAAAGCACAATCTTTAGGTGCTAATCAGACTGCATCTACAGGGCTACTTTTTTTTTTTTTTTTTTACTTGGAGCCCTTTGAAAGATACTTCAGGCAGGCACTTTTCAGAGTTCCTGCTGACAATACTGAAGGCCACGTAGCATCTAATGCTCTACATATTTCTCTTTTTATACATGTTTAAAATTCTTATGCTGGCTCCGGTAAAATTCTAAGCTCTCAGTGCTATTAGAAACAAGGTTAAACATTTCTTTCTCAAGAGTGAAGCAGGTAAACATGTAGCCTAACTCACCCATTGGGTTCAGAGGCCTCATGCCAGCCTGCAAGCCTTGGTTGGACATATTGGGCTGGCCAGTCTGAGCTTGGATCTGGTTGCCCTGGTAGGTGAGGCCCAGGGCTGCGTAGGCTCTTTCTATGGAGCTGGGGTCAATCTGACTCGGCGGATTGAGGCTGGGAGCACTTGGTTGGCCACCAGGTACTGCCCCAAGAGAGCTGCCCAGACCTGCAGCTGTTGCACCGAGTAGAGCTGTGAGGACATAAGGAGAGGAGAGTGTTAATAATACATCTGATCTGCTCAAGAGAATATAAAAAAACAAAGCATGAGAAATCCCTGTGGCTGAATAATTAGGCAAAACAGCCAAAAAGCATGCCGCAAATCTTATTATCGTTTAGTACACCACAGATAATGTTTAGCTCACTATACTGTCAAGGTCTCAGGTTCAAATCCAGCACAGACTGAGGCTTAACAATATTAGCATTATCTTTCTATATCAATATACTTGCAATAACACATCACAACATCAGTAAAAACGATGATGACATAAAAATAGCATAATATGATTTTATCATTAAGGTGTACAATGTAGTGTGAAGAAAAGGAATGTATAACGTTGTTTGGTCAGATACAGACACTCACACTGCGGGTTCCTCTTGTCCCCTGCATTCTTCAGCGGCAGGCACACAGGACAGTCATGCCGCGTGCAGTTCTTCCAATGGGAGATGATCTGCCTCGATGATGCACAGTGGGCAACTGAGGATGAAAATGGGCAGAGATGCAGGAAGATTTGGGGAATACAGAGGTGTATGAGGGAGGGGGAGGAGGCAGGAGAAAGAGAATGAAAAAAAGTGAGGTCATGGGAAAAAAATTAATTAATTAAATTAGAGATGCCTGCCTGTTGCCTACAAAGAGTTGCCGAGTCAATAAGACACAGAAAACTGTAACAAAGTTAACCTAATACTGGCGTTATTTTATCTTCCTAGCACTACCGAAAAACAAACTCACAATAAGTATGGTCCGTGCAGCCACAACCTTATACAGCTTATGCCTCCTGCATCATTTGCCTGAGAGCTATACCGTTGCAATGGGTGAAATATTCCTTCATTAGGAGGGGTACAGCCAGTGAAGTTAATTTCTCTCAGCTTGTCAACCTCAGAAATCAAATCTGTGTCAGCACCATACCTCATCTCTGAGCATGCACAGTGACATCTGCCCCAGATAGAGCAACTCTATAGAAAGTCATCAAATCAGTTTTTTAGGCAACAATGGAGTTCTATAGAAATGATGTACAAACACTATCAAACAATCTTTGTTAACTGGATAAATATAGGATGACTGAGATTGATCACAACTCTGTGATATCCTTTATTACACAAATGTGTCTGTCAAGAGCCTGCTTGTCAAACACAGGGATGCATCATAGCTATCCACTGAGTGCAGGAGCATGCAGCATCCCTTCGACTCACCCTGACAAGACTTGCCAGCCTGGCAGTGAGTCATGTGGTTGAGGACGTTCTTCATTGTGCGGCAGTGGGGCAGGTTGCACTGCCGGACCTCACCGTTGGCCTGCTCCCGCCGCTGGCACTTGTGTGCATGAAGCAGGAGCACCAGTTGCTGCTGGATTAGCTTGCGCTTCTCAGGGTCAGCTGTGGGCGGCGCTCCAGCAGCGGCAGATGCTGCAGAAACCTGGGCACTGGGACCCACCAGACTTGCCTGAGCGTTGGGCACCATTCCTGGGGCACCTCCCACAGGTGCACTAGAGGGGCCGCCCACACCTGTTTGTGACTGCTGGGAGCCCTGGCAAGTGAAGTGAGAGGGAATAAGAAACGATGACGTGGGTGAGACAAGAGTAGTAATTAAATAGGAAATAGGAAGGGATCAGTTAAAAGGTAACAGGGAGTAGGGAGTGGAGAGGTAGAGCAGATTAAGAGGACAGGAGGCAGTGTTTAATTTACAAGAGGTGAGTGAGGTAAATGAAAAGAAAGCAGGAATACAGAGCAGTAAAACAGTAGTGCGATGGGGAGAAAAGGTAGCAGGGAAGAGATAAGGGAATCACTTTGGGCTGATACTTAAATCTGCCAACTTGGTTAAAAGAATTGCAGAACAACTCAAACTTGCAACTAACACATGTACACAAACATTTTCTCAGTGTGTTTGTTCCCTACCATGGCGGCCATTCCTTGCATGGGCTGGTTCTTCTTGTCCACATTGAACGGGGCCAGGCTGTTGCCCATGGGACCTTTGTTCTGGAGCTGAGGGCCCAGCCCTGCGCCTCCCAGACCTTGATTCCCCTGCCCTGCATATGGACCTCCAAAAGGCCCCCCTGGGTTCCCCATCATCCCCATCTAGGAATAAAAAAAAAAAGGAAAACGAGGAGTGACGGGGAGTCAGTGGGAATGATGAAGACATATGAAGATTAGAAGAGAGTGATGTAGAAAATCAGGTAAACTAAGACAACAATTAACTATGTGGTTGAAACCACATCTCATGGATGTTATCAGTGATCACATTGCAGAATCAATCGTGTGCAGAATCTGTTGGCAGTGGGACAAGAGTTTGGTATCGGAGGTATTCTGGTTTCTGTTTGTAATCTGAGTAGAATTGACTAATCACGTTTGAGCTTCAGGTATACAGTATGTGTACAGAGGCGAAACACATTGGTTGAAAGCAATTTCAAGTGTCAGCTATCCTCTGACACTTAAACTTTATATTAGTTTTTTTAAAATCTGCATTGATACGCAGATATCTGTTTATGAAGATTTGCCCAAATGGAAGAGGAAGTCTTGCTACACTGGACTTTCAGAAATATTGGCCATTGCCCCCCTGGGGCTTCTCGTCGTCCGATTGCCAAAGGATTCCAACAGTGAAAAATTCATTCAAAGCCAAAATTTTCATCTCCCAAAAGAATTTTTTTTACCACTTGCACTTAGTTTCTACTAAGTTACTCACTAAGGAAAAAAGACAATGCACTTCTAAATCAGTTAACCAGTTTACAGCATCAGGTAATGTCTAATTATATAATTTAAAAAAGTAATTAAAACCTTTGCAACCAAACCTTCGTGCCAACAGAAGTAACAGCAGAGTGTGTAATAGCTATCCAACAAGAGTAGTTCCTCTTTTCTTCCTGTGCACTGAGGGGGTTATTTGAACTTTTCTTTTAAAAATCACTGATCTATTCCTCATTAGTATCCCCGTCTCTTTCCTCTTCTCCTCATTCCTTCAATCAGCTTCAGTGGGTCCACTGCATTTTTCTTTAACTGCTTCATATACCTAACCTGAAACCCCTCTTACAGCTTCAGATCTCTATGGCATAATCAAACATCAGTGTCTCCAACACATTCATTCAGCAGCAGTAGCGGCAGCAGCCTGCCACTGCAACATTTTTATTGTCACTCCTGTGGGACCGTCAATCACAGAGGCAGAGCAGTTTTCTGCCACTTTAACGCCAAGCATGAGGGTGCTACGTGTTGTTCATGGCTGTGAAATACATGGATATAGTCACGGACCCAAAGCACTACAATGAGGTTGTATAAAAAATTAAGCATCTCTGTCTGGGTAAAGAGCCAAACTAGAGCCTGCAGAAAAGTAGCTTACATTAAAGGAAAACGTTAAGCTAAGGCCTAAATATAATTTGTGAATAAGTTTTGCACATAAACATAAGATCTTGACCTACAATTATGTGCAAAATTAGCAGTTACCAACTGTACTTACTAAATGATAAATTATAAGTAATGACACCTTTACTAATTATATATTTAAACTAGTCCATGTTTCTGTTTCAAAAGTAAGGTTTTGGGCAGTCGTAAACATTTTTGAGCAGTGACTGAAAGATAATGCGAGTTCTACACGACTATTGAGGAGAACAACACTGACTGTGTGTACATACAAGATCTTATTTTTACCTGTTATGGCATTTACAACCTTCTTGTTTAACGTAAATATCATCAGAAATTTAAAAATGAATGAAACAGTTCATATGCAATGTTAAACTACGTCCATAGGAAAAGCATGATGATTGAAGGAGTGCCTACCTTGTTCATTGCTCCAGGCTGCTGGCCTCTCATCCCAGCCTGGCCCCCAGCTCCTTGCTGCTGCAGGGTCTCGGCCAACAGGTTGCTGTTGCCACCCATCCCCTGATTCCCAAAGCCCATCCTGGGGGAGCCATTCATCACCTGGCTTCCAATCATGCCTGGCTGCTGCTGTCCATTATTGCCTTTCTGCTGCGCTCCCATCATGGCCCTGTTCATGCCACCCATCATTCCAGCTACAGCATTCTGTTGCTGCATCATGTTGGCCTGCTGCTGAGGGGAGAGGTGCTGCTGCTGCCCCTGGCCCATCATCTGCGGAGGCCCCTGGCCAGGGGATGCCTTCATGTTTGCCAAGTGTTGCCCCATGGCAGTGGGGCCTCCTGGGCTGCCCATGGCTCCTTGGTGCCCCTGTTGGCCCGAGGTGGGTGCCCCTGAACGCAAAAGCTCGGAAAGCTGTTTGTGCTTGGCCACCGCATCCTGGCCCCCGCCAGGACCAAGTCCAAGTCCCAGTCCTCCTGCCCCTCCACTGCCTCCTCCAGGACCCAGCCCTGCAGGTCCTCCTCCCAGAGTGGTGTGCAACTGGCTGAGATCCCCGCCATTGACCAGGCCTGGTTCATTGGAGCTGATGAGCTCGTCTGGGAGATCATGCTCCAAGTCAAACAGTGAGCCGAAATCTAAAATGGAGAAGAAATGCAAAGTTTAGGAGGGGGGAGTCAATGAGATGGGAGAGAAAGACAGGAAAGGTGAGAGGAAGACAATACAGGCCACAGCCATGTTAAGCTGGTATAATCCTTCATTTTTCAGCATGACTGAGTGAAAATGCAATTGCATGCTTGACATTAAAAGTGACAAAAGCTGTTTAGAGACAATTTTCTCCCATCAGAAATTAACAACATGCCATCAGGCACAACACAACTGAGCACTAAACTCCAGGTGAGATTCAGAGAATTTGTGTGTGTGAAGATGTGTGCACAAACACATATGCAAACACACACGCCCACATGGCCTTCTTGCACAGAGAATCCCTGACCAGTAAAATGATTCAACATGTTGCAAAGACAGGTTTGAACAGACAAGGTGACGAATGGACCATTTCATATAAGTAACACCACAAAATGGAGCCATATCGGTAAAACGCACATTCAGTGTCAGTCTGTATCCACTGTATTAAAATGCACACAGCTTAGGCAAACAAATATGATACATGATACATGTCAATTATCTTTATTTATTTTTATGAGGGACATCAAGACCATTTTTTCAAAATACAGAATCTCATTAAGTTCTAATTGTCACTCACAGTGGTAATTTGCCATTCTTTTGTTTAATTCATTGTGAATATGTCAATGGGTTGATCTACAATGACAACAATCTGCAGCCCTGAGTTTTAATAATCTACATCTGAGAATTAAGAAATTAGTTATCAGCAACAAACACTATTTACAAACTGCTTTTTGAAGGTACAATCAGAGTAACAGTATGCAAGAACTTATACCAATTTCTCATATCAATCTGCTCAATTTGTCATGTGCTTTTACTTCTCAACTCAACTATAAACACTCTGCATGGCAGTGTCACAAATAATAACGGAGGACAATAAATCTAAGTGCAATAAATTGCATACCTTACGCACAGACCCCTTTCTTGATAGCAATGCACTGATCCTCAAAATATATCATGCAAGGTAACGTGAATGTGTGCACCGTCTGGATGATTTAACCATAAAAGTCCCTTTGCACAGATGCTGACTGCCACGGTCAATATTAGCTGAGTGGACAGTCCAAGATTCAGCTGTTCGTGGTAAAATGAATGATCAAGTGATGAGACCTGGCTTATTATTTCGTGCTTAGAGCAATTTTTTGCTTGCTAACTTGACTTGCTGGTTGATATCGCAGTGGCAGGACATGGCGCTGTCCATGCTCCACAGTTTGGCTCTCAGGCCACTACTCCAGCTGCTGTCACACGACATCCACAAAAAACACATCAACAATGCCAATTTGAGCTTAACAATTAGTCGGGACCGTGGGCCTAAAATTGTGTATCCCACAAGGCTAGCCTGACCATCGGCAACCTCTGCTTTCACAAACACTATGAACGGTAGCTAACATTAGTTGGGAAAGGGTCCGAGTTATGATGGGGCAACACAACAGATTGCTTTAGACGCTTGAAGCCTTGAAACTCAAATAACAGAATGGGGGGTAGTTGTAGCTGACTGTCAATTGGGCACAACTGTAACACACAAAAAACTTTATCATAAGTTAGTTTGGCATGGGGCTTATTATCAGCCCGGCTGAAGTAGCCATTAGACACGGGACCGTCAGTAAAGGACCCGCATTCGGTTAGCTAGCCTAGCGTTAGCCGAATGGCTAACAGAGCTACCTCCGGCTAAAATGGCTGTTAGCATGCGAGCTAGCTGGGGGAGCTGTTCCTCACGTCCGACACACACTCACTACTAGCAAGCTAACATTAGCAAGCTACGACAAAAACAGAAGAGTAATCCCGCGTCTTCTTCCCCTTTTAAGTGAACCCAAGCCGCCAAAAAATAACAAACTTAACGAATAACACAGTAACAAATGATATCATAAAGCAATACTTGCCATTTCCATCGCTGGCGGAGGCGGAAAGTGCCGGAGAGGAGAGTTTAGGCCTCTTGGCTGAAGGCGGGCCAGAGTCCAGAACGTTCTCGGCCATATTTTTTCGAAATAAAAATATATAAAGTATCCACAATTGCAGACGTTTTCACGCCCTTAGAAGCTCATTCCTTCTCGTTTCCAATATTGCGACTTTTCCCCCTCCTTTTGGGGGACTAAGAGGGGGAAAGTCCCGTGTACAAATTACTCCTCTTTCCCTGGGTTCGCCTCTCGATTTCAGCCTCGGCGTATATCAACCCCCCTCCCTCCCTCGTCGGATTTTTTGTTCTTTATAAATTTCTGCCAGCGGAGGAGGAGGGGGTCGGTGAAAGTAAAGAGGAGACACAGGCAGCGGCTTCCCTCTAAACTTACACAGCCTCTTCCAATGTAAATAAACTGTCCCCGGGTCTCTCCCCCATGGTTGCATCCGTCATTTCAACCTCCTTTCCAGCGGAGTCTGGATGGAGATAATGTCGGGCAGAAAAGGCTTGTTTGCCTGCGAAGTGATGGTGGTGCTGCTGGTGGCAGCGGGTAAGGATGAGGGGATGCAAATAAAAAAATAAAGCTGACAAATGTGGAGCTGCAATGGTGGATAAAGTACGCTCATCCGCTGGGCTGTGCATGTAAAAGAAAAAAGTTATTTATCAGGAAATTCTTCCATGAAGAAACCTGATCTTGTTTCTGCCTCTGTGAGGTTTAGTTGCAAAGATTAAAGTTGGATTATGTTCAACCGTTATCTTAAATGCAAGTAATCTAATTGTTAATCAGTTTTGCAGCCAGCATTTTTTAAAAGGAGAAAAAAAATCGACATTAAGTGCAGCACACCAAGGGTGATTTACAAACAGTGACAACTAAATGCATCACTGGAGAGACTTGTTGGACTCCTCAATAGCAGACATTTATTAAATTAAATACCCAATCCTGTCTGCCTTATTTCTGATTTGTTTGCTTTCTCATATGCAACATAGTGACTCCATGCATACATGTGTAAATCCTCTATCATACAACAGAGAGGAATGCAGTTTTCTCAGTGTCCTGGTGTTGACTCTTGAAATTGGCTCCATGATCACTCTCACTCCTTCAGTTGGTTGTCAAAAAATATTCTTCCTGTCTTGTTCTTGCACCAACACAGTCATCAGCCTTACTTTGTCACTTGTTGTTAAGCATTTATTCCAATGTGAAAGTACATTTACACTTACAAATGTACAAAAACCTGCACGTACAGCAGCATACAGTAAGAGCTGATACAGTGTACACTGCTCAATACAGATGTACCTGCTCCACAGCCATTCATTCATGGTCATTTTATACTGTAATGGTGCTTATATTGAGTCCAATAGTTAGGGCTAGTACCAGAAGTGTGGACTAGAGTCATATGACTTGAACTCAAGTCAGATTCGAGTCATAAACTTGACAATTTTAGACTATTTTTGATAAAATAAGAAGGACTTACAACTTGACTTGGACTTGAGCCATTTGACTTGAAAATACTTACAGGCCTGGAGATTTAAAAATATGTTAATGAAAAATTGTGCCATGAATCAGTTCATTTCAGTTCATTTCCCAAATCAGCTAACATTAACACTTTTCATTCCCAGCAACTGGACACTTAATCCCCAGATTCATTTTGTCTGAACTCAATCTGACAGCATCCAGTCAAGGTACAGGAGACACCCTCAAATAACTAATGTTACGCTACTGAGCACCAGTTGATTCCAAAAAATATATACCAACAATAAATTTGTTCACATACAAAAACTACTAAAACACAAAAAACAAATTGCAGAATGCAATATGTGCGGGCCAAAAATTACATACGGAGATGCAACAACTTCCAACAAACTGGTTTTCACAAAAAAATACAACATTTTAAAAGCATTTATGATTTTTGTAAGTTTAATATATTATTACTATGTTATTCAAATGGCATTACATTTATGAAAGAGTGCATTATGATTTGTTTAGGACTTGAAACTCAAAGTTTAGGTCTTGGGACTCAACTGTCTTGACTTGGGACTTGAGTGCAAAGACTCGAGACTTACTAGTGACTTGCAAAACAATGACTTGGTCACACATCAGGCACTTACAGTGTACACTACTCAGTGTAGCTTAAATTTAACAGCCACACAGCCATTCATTCATGGTCTGATTTACAACACAGTAACAGTATATGCTTATATTGACTGAAATAGTTGAACCAGAGATGTCAGTTCTAACTACTGCACCAGTACATCAGTTGAAAACATGTCTATGTCTTGAGAATATCTGTACTGTCTTACATGTTTTTCTGCAATACAGCATGATTTTAGGTTTTCAAACTTCATCTGTGCTACAATTTAGGGTAAACTTTTGTAAATCTGAAATATGTTTGGGCACTTGGTATTCCTACAGACTGTCCAGTGGGACAAAAGCAGTTTGCAAAAGAAGAAAATAAATGTGTTTGCTGTCAGCAGTGGGATAGAGTGGGATTCTACAGCTAGAGATGCACAATGAGGAGTAAAGGACTTACAAACAGTATGAATACTCTCTTACAGAACCTGTTTGACTCAGGTATTTTGGGGATACGTACTGTATTTATATAAGTTATTAAATGACCTGTCAGCAGTATGAAGATATTCACTGCATGTGGTAATTGTTTTAGAAAACATGGGCTTCTATCACTGTGTTTCCCCCAGTTCTGGTTACAACAAGCAGCCAGTTCCTTATCTTTAACAGGTGACAACATTATTTGAAGATGAACTCGATCACCCTCAAGAAAAGGTCCAAAAGTAAGAATGGAAATCCTTCTAATTGGGAGAAACTCCACTAACTGAGCAGGTTGCAGAATTTAAGGAAAAGAAGAGCTCTTTCAAATCTGTGAATTGTCTACGCCACGTGCCCACTAGGCCCTGCAGATCCTGAGTCCACCATGATGAAGATAAAAGACTTTGGTTGCGAACAGATTACAATCAGAAGTTTATGTAAATTTCTCCAAGAAGAATCTCATGTGTCTTCAAGATTATTTTGTGCAAGTGGTCATGTCTGTAAATCTGCTGTAATGCCTTCAAAAGTTTCCACTGCATATATATAAAAGAAAACTATGAAGGTGTTATCAAACCTGCATTATCATCTGATAACCACACCAGTGAATCATGACACTCAGAGACAGTCTCATAAGTGCAAGCCTTATCCCAGGAATCAAACCCTGACATGTGGGTATCATGCCCTGTCACAGGACCGTGGTTATATTAACTCATTAGGGGGCTCTTGGGCAAAAAACTTCTTAGCCCCCAGCTCTGCCAGGAATCAGCATTACCTACTACATGTTTCATATACATAAATGCTGAGGAAAAGTTATCAGGGCCTGTTTGTACTGGATTTGAAGATAATATTTACTGGCAACTTTATAATGTGTCAGTTACTTTGACTAAACTTTACATGCCAGGACCTCAGTCACACATGGGCCGTATTGCAGTTGATATCGTACTTACATCAGTATGAATGTTTTCTTTATAAAATAAAATAGAATAAAATAAAATAAGAATTGTTGTTTTTTCGTCACCCTGGAAGGAGCTACTCCACACAGGGAGTAGGTCCTCTTCTACGGAGATCACCATGCTGCACCACCATGTTTCTACAGTAGCCCAGAATGGACAAGCCAAACACTGGCTCTAGATAGGGCCATTCACATTTTTGCATCAGCCATCATAGTTAGCATCCCCTCCTGGACAAGAGGGGGGAAAAAAGATTCTTTAACATGAAATTGCTTTATTCAGTGTTTTTACTGGTTGAAATCACCAGGTCCATTTGTTTAGGAGAGAATGAGACCTCTGCAGGTAATCCAGCTCCTGCTAAAAACCTCCTGAATGTCTGGATCTTAAGTTAGCAGAGCAAAATGTGAGCAAACAATAGCAGGTGGCCCATCTGCAACATGCTCACCAGCACTGAAGAAACACTGATTTGTAATGTAAAACGGTTTTATTCAGTGTTTTTACTGGTTTATATCAGCGGATTTATTTGTTTTTGAGAGGAAGAGAGCTCTGTGGATAAATATGCTCCCTGTAAAAACCTCCTGAACAATAAAACACTGAAGGAATTCTAACCAGGAGAAGTTTCAGCTGGTTGCAATTTGCAATCCTCACCACTAGATGCCACTAACCCCCCCTAAATCTTTCACACTGTCCCCTTAAAGATGGAGGCCAGATGAATTTCAGAGAGAAATGTAAGGCTGCTACATTCATTTTTGGTTTATTGTTGTATCACTATCATGAAGTCTGTGTCTAAGAAAATAAGAAACAGGCTACAATAACCAAGTGGGCCAAGCGTATCACGATTAGTCAACAATATATCAGACAGCTCCTTAAGATTTTAAGACACACCTTCTCGTTATCAAATAACAAAAATGAAAAAATGGGATGCTGTGTTTATTAACGTACTTTCCATTTTCATTTTCCAGAAATTCATATGTAATCTTTCCATACAATCTTGACTCTTGTTTTTCACACTACCAGCATGTTGTGTCCCTTCTAAGCACAGACATTACGGGCTGTTTAGCACCTATGTATCACACTTGCAAATGGAAGTAGATTACATTATTTGCATTTGTGGAGTATTGTGTACATACTGTATGTGTGTGTGGGTGTCTTTGTATTTTCCTGTTTTGAATGTTTGCACAGCACATATATGTGAATAATGGGCTTCAGTGAGTCCAATGCAACTGTCTGTGAGATATTTTAGAGCTGTATTAATCAAATAAACTTGGTGTTTTAGACTTGGAAATGCTAATAAACTAAATAATGCTGTGTTTAAGGTTATTTGTGTGGTGGCATGCATTGTTAAGTCCAGTTTATTTTATTATTACTTGGTTGATTAGATGAAATAAGCAATGCTCTTTTGGAAATTGCACTATTTTACTGGAGAAACCCAAATAATCAAACGAATGATGGCTGAATTCCATATAGCTACTTCAGTTTCAGGGTTCTGGTACTGTGCATGTTGGCTCACTGCCATGGCATATTGAGACACCTGAGTAGAACCTTAGTTAATGTTATTAGTAGCACTTGTGGGTTTCCTGCAACAGGTCAAGATGTTTAGTGTGATAATGGTCCAGTCAGGTTTGAACACATAAATTACCGGAATATGTCACAAACACAGTTGAGAATTTTAACTTGCAGATGAAAAACATTTCCATTTCTCAACTTATCTTAATCGAAAACATTTAAATTTTGCTTATATTTTGACACAACATAATTGATGGGAACAAGCATGGAACAATACAAGGGTGCATTATTAGATTAGATTTACTTGTTGTCTGTACTGACAAACCTGTGAAACAGGTATGGGAGAGATGGCATAGTTTCCAGTTCTGTGTTTTGATTTGATTTGATTTGATTTGATTTAGATATCAGAGAGCACGACTAAATCTATAAATCCCCAAACCTGCAACCAAAAATTGCAATGTTTGATAAAGTCTGTAGCATGAAGGTACTGTATGGAACAAATGGCAGCAAAATCTTCAGTTCAGTTCAGTTTTGGGAACTTTATTGATCCCAGAAGGGCAAATCCCTTTCACAATCTACCCAGACCATACACAAACTAGCAGACAGAAACAAGCGGCAACCAACGGTAGTAATATGTCAGAGATCAATACATGGGCAAAAGATGATGCACACTGGCACGTCGTGTGGTTTCGTGCATACATACTCACACAGGATCAGGCAAAGAATAATAATTTACATACATCAATACAGAAATTACTAAATATAAATAAGCATTCTACTGCATTGCACATTACTTAACTACATTTGTTGAATGCATGGGCTTTGCAGCCATGTGATGAAAAACAGACACAGAGTGAACTAATTATGTGGTTACAAAATAAGGCATTTATTTGAAGGATTACTGTCAGCATTTCGCAGCCTGGTAGTAGAAGGAAAAAGGGACTGGATATGACTGTGCCCTTGCTTTTTTACAGCTCAGCTGCAATAAGTTTGTCATGAGGGTGGTCTCGGGAAAAGTCTTCATTCATTCATTCATTCATTGTGAGCATGAGCAGTTCATCCTCTGGTCAGCATGAATTTGCTCAGTACATTTGATGGCATCTTGCACTTCATAAGAAGTGATATGCCGGATATTAGAAGAGTGTAAAACATCCTGCACCAAACTTCCATCTTTCTTACATCTATGAAGCCCCCAAAGTGGATCCCTGCTGGAGGTTATGTCGTATGGAGGACTCGCTTTGCTTATACTGAGATGTATACATTTTAGGTACTTTGCCCAAACCCATTGAGTGTGGTGTAATATAGGGTTTCTTTTTTTGTCTGCCTATCTTGCTGTCCTTTTTGTGAAAAATTTTTGATGGGCTTGAATTAAGCCAAAAGTGGCCTTTCTTCCCATTTAAGGTTGGAGTCATAATTAGCCCAGTGTCTTGCTACAGATTCATTTCAAACGATAGTTATAAAAACCCCACGTCCAGAAGTACTAAACCACCCTCCCTCATTAGGGAACATAATATTTTTAGGGTGATTCTCTGCTTTTTTCCATTCCACACATAATCTTTAATTAATTGGTTACATTACTTAAAAATGCCCTCAGGAATCATCACTGGTAAGATCACAGAAATATAATGAATTGTTGGGTTATAACCATCCTAATGGTGCTTATCTTACCCAATAGGCTGAGGCTTATCCTCTTCCACTTAGACAGGTTAGTTTTTATCTCTGAAAGCTGTGGAGTCATGCTGATTTGCAATAGGTTTTTTTTTTTTTAAATTTAACATAGTCTTACTCCTAGATACCTCATCCCTGAACTGAAATGATCTGATTATATTATATATTGGCATAACTTCTAATTTCTTCCAGTTGATTTATTAGCCTGATAATTCACAATATTTTTTCAATTGTACATAGTAAGCCAAGTCCCTATGTACAAGTACATAGGGACTTGGCTTGGGAACCAAAGGGTCACAGGTTCAAGCAACCACACAAACCAAGTATGGGGCATGGACTGGTAGCTGAAGACGTGCCAGTTCACCTCTGGGCACTGTCGAGATGCCCTTGAGCAAGGCACTGAACCCCCAACTGCTCGGGGCGCCTGTCCAAGGCAACTCCCTCAATTTTTGCATCTCTCCATTAATACATGTATAGGTCCTGTTTGTGCATTTGTGTGTATTTTGGACCTGTGTGTATATGTATATGACAACAGAGTGAATGAAATAAAATATCATCTGCATGAACAAACATTTTGTGTTCATTGCCCCCTCCAGTTACACCTTTAATGTCTGCTTCTGCTCTGACTGTTGCAGCCAGTGGTTAAAAAAATAGCGTGATGAGTAGAGAACTGAGGGGATCTCTCTGTTTGGAACCATGTGTGAGGCTAAACATGGAGATATCCTCCTGAGACCCTGTGTCCTCATATGAGGACATCACATTTTGGGTTTACTTGACCTTATACTTCATTATACTTAATTTAGACCTATTGTCCTCATCCGTGGACACTTTTTGTGCCATCTAGTGGTAGTAAGAGCACAATACACTAATCCATGTAAAAACAAGATGGCAGCCATCTCTTAAAATGTTATGGTTGAAACTTGTTTATTTATGATGAATAATAGTTGTACTTTTATATGGCAACAAATTTAGTCATTTTTAGTTAGTAATAACAGTAATAAGACGCTGTTAATAAAAATTACTGGTCATCGTGTACTACATTGATTGCATTGTTCATTTTAGTCAGACCATACAGTTTGAAAATGAGGTGCGGCTCCAACTATAAAACAATGTTTTGATGCATTGGATGTGCTGAATGTGCATATTAAGGCAGTACAGGAGGAGGCGCACATTAATAATCCTCCAGGACTGTAACATGCTCATGCTTAGTTAACCCAAACACTATGTAATGCGACTGCAGTTGGTACGGATCGAGGTCAGACCATGTCCTCACCACAAATAAACTGCACCACAGTCTGGTTGAAACCAGACCACCTCCTCAGGAAGGTCTTGGTCTGATTGTTTTGATGCACACCCAAGTGAGATTGCTGCCCAACAAAACTGCACTTAGGGGGCAAATGAACTTGACTTCAATTGAACTGAACCAAACAGAGCAGGTGTGAAAGCACCTTCAGTGTTCATTGTTCAGGTGTTTTTACCAGGACCCAAATTATCTGCAGAGATCTCTTCCTCTCAAAAACGAATGGACTTGGTGATTTAAACCAGTAAAAACATTGAATAAAGCAGTCACAAGCATCACAGAAATTAAAAAAAAAAAAAAATCAGCACCCCAAAGAAGATATACATAATATATTATATTCCATTTCTGCCAAAAATATTCATATAAATCTGACACGCTGGACCTTTAAAAAAGCAGGCTTATTTGACCAGGCAAGGCAACCACTAAAACATTTATTGTTACAATTACTACAACATTTACCAATAACTTTTACTTAAACTATTAGCAAATTATATTATCGTTTTAGCATTTCTATGCTCGTATATTAATTAATTTGAGATTTGAGGAATATCTCACAATGCTTCCTTCCAATTCCTCTAAAACATCATCTCCCATGATGCTGCAAGTGCCTAAAGAAACTACGATGACGTTAAAAGAGAGGCGACCACAACAGAGTGCCGAGGACTGCGAAGACACAACTGAACTCACACCCAAATAGTTTTCCAGTTGTGTTATACATTTCAGTGAGTGCCTAAAGAGTATCAGCATATATGTAAGTAACCACTGAAAGTAAAAACAAGTGAACTGCTGCGTCGTAACTAAACAAACGTGCTATTAGCACTGTTAGCGTTTAGCTTGCATTTACAGTAGCGTGTGAGCTAGCCACACTTTTGTTTATGTTTTGACCAGCCTGTTTCTAAGCCTTTTAGCTGTGACAATTTGCTTAAAAATTGATTTCAACAGCTAAATTCTGTGTTCATTATTTTATTTCATGTATGTTTATCTTGTATGCACTTATTTGACAGATAACTGCTGGTTTGTAGAAGTCTGTCTTGCTTAGAAATGAACATTTGCTCCTGCTGACCAGCTGTTTTCTCCTCTCTGGTGCATAGAGATTGGTGTTAGCTAAAAGTAGGTGTTACAGAATGTAGTTTCTGGGTTAGACTAAGAATTTTGTCTGCTATTTGTGACATGCATTCATCACTTTCCCCTGCAGAGCTCACAGAACAACAGCCTCCAGCTTTAAAGAAGAACAGATGCATTGGCTGTAGATCCTGCTTTGCACTGTGAGTCTCTAGTGATCCTCTTGTGAGCAGAGCACAGGATGCCTTACCACTGTGTGGCCTATGGATGCGGCAAAACTGCAGAAGATGGTGCGACGCTCTTTAAATTCCCCAAGGACCATGAGGAGTTTCGCAAATGGGAGAAGCAGGTCCAGCGCACCCGCACTCAGTGGGTCGCCACACCCAACTCTCACCTCTGCAGCGAGCATTTTGGCAGGGAGTACTTTGAGCCAAGAGCACCCACGGGGGCTCTGAAGCTAAAGCCAGGAGCTGTTCCCACAGTGTTCCTCCGTCCACACTGTCTCTCCTGCAAAGGAGTGGGATGTAGTAGCTGCCTGCCAGCTATCCAACGGCGGGGCTTTACAGCTGAACCAAGAGAGCGTGCTGTAAGTGTGAGTAGTTATTATTACGGAGAAAGGTCACTGCAGAGAGACAAAGAGAGTTTCTGCCATTCTGAGAGGTTTAAACAAACCTCTTGCTTGTTTACATGTATGATGTAAAGACACATTCAAGCTTTCCATTTGTCACTGTGTTTTTTTCTCTTCTCAGGCACCATACAATGAAATGCCCTTTCAGTTTGATGATACTGATGGAGGAGGTCATGAAGAACATCTGACAAGAGGAGTGACAAAGGCGGCGGAAAAAAACAGAGAAGAACGACCAGGTGAGGTGCAAATGATTAAACTGTATGTCCATTTTCTGTATCTGTAATTAAATGCTATTTAAAGTCAAAATCAAAATGAGTGATGGAAGGTCTCAGACAATGGTTCAAAATAAAATAAAAATCCCATCAGTAACTGTAGGAACTGTGATAAAATTAAATGATGATTTATACTAAATGTGTTTACTTTATTATTTATTTTTACAGTGGTGTGTGAGATGTGTGGCACCGCCGGCACTAGTAGCAGCTTCTTTTCAAAGACCAAGCGTTTCTGCAGTATATCTTGTTCACGCTCTTATTCATCAAACTCCAAGAAGTCCTCCATATTGGCACGTCTGCAGGTGAGAAAAAATATGTGATGTTGCAGCACATAAACAATGCTGAATAATGAGTGTGTGTGCTGCCATGTTATGTAGGTGGCATCTCATGTAGAGGATGTAACATTTTAGAGAGAGTCTCTTCATACATACAGTACAGGCCAAAAGTTTGGACACACCTTCTCATTCAATGCGTTTTCTTTATTTTCATGACTATTTACATTGTAGATTCTCACTGAAGGCATCAAAACTATGAATGAACACATGTGGAGTTATGTACTTAACAAAAAAAGGTGAAATAACTGAAAACATGTTTTATATTCTAGTTTCTTCAAAATAGCCACCCTTTGCTCTGATTACTGCTTTGCACACTCTTGGCATTCTCTCCATGAGCTTCAAGAGGTAGTCACCTGAAATGGTTTTCCAACAGTCTTGAAGGAGTTCCCAGAGGTGTTTAGCACTTGTTGGCCCCTTTGCCTTCACTCTGCGGTCCAGCTCACCCCAAACCATCTCGATTGGGTTCAGGTCCGGTGACTGTGGAGGCCAGGTCATCTGCCGCAGCACTCCATCACTCTCCTTCTTGGTCAAATAGCCCTTACACAGCCTGGAGGTGTGTTTGGGGTCATTGTCCTGTTGAAAAATAAATGCTCGTCCAACTAAACGCAAACCGGATGGGATGGCATGTCGCTGCAGGATGCTGTGGTAGCCATGCTGGTTCAGTGTGCCTTCAATTTTGAATAAATCCCCAACAGTGTCACCAGCAAAACACCCCCACACCATCACACCTCCTCCTCCATGCTTCACAGTGGGAACCAGGCATGTGGAATCCATCCGTTCACCTTTTCTGCGTCTCACGAAGACACGGCGGTTGGAACCAAAGATCTCAAATTTGGACTCATCAGACCAAAGCACAGATTTCCACTGGTCTAATGTCCATTCCTTGTGTTTCTTGGCCCAAACAAATCTCTTCTGCTTGTTGCCTCTCCTTAGCAGTGGTTTCCTAGCAGCTATTTGACCATGAAGGCCTGATTCGTGCAGTCTCCTCTTAACAGTTGTTCTAGAGATGGGTCTGCTGCTAGAACTCTGTGTGGCATTCATCTGGTCTCTGATCTGAGCTGCTGTTAACTTGCGATTTCTGAGGCTGGTGACTTGGATGAACTTATCCTCAGAAGCAGAGGTGACTCTTGGTCTTCCTTTCCTGGGTCGGTCCTCATGTGTGCCAGTTTCGTTGTAGCGCTTGATGGTTTTTGCGACTCCACTTGGGGACACATTTAAAGTTTTTGCAGTTTTCCGGACTGACTGACCTTCATTTCTTAAAGTAATGATGGCCACTCGTTTTTCTTTAGTTAGCTGATTGGTTCTTGCCATAATATGAATTTTAACAGTTGTCCAATAGGGCTGTCGGCTGTGTATTAACCTGACTTCTGCACAACACAACTGATGGTCCCAACCCCATTGATAAAGCAAGAAATTCCACTAATTAACCCTGATAAGGCACACCTGTGAAGTGGAAACCATTTCAGGTGACTACCTCTTGAAGCTCATGGAGAGAATGCCAAGAGTGTGCAAAGCAGTAATCAGAGCAAAGGGTGGCTATTTTGAAGAAACTAGAATATAAAACATGTTTTCAGTTATTTCACCTTTTTTTGTTAAGTACATAACTCCACATGTGTTCATTCATAGTTTTGATGCCTTCAGTGAGAATCTACAATGTAAATAGTCATGAAAATAAAGAAAACGCATTGAATGAGAAGGTGTGTCCAAACTTTTGGCCTGTACTGTATGCACCAGTGTTTTTCATTACCATTTTATAATCTGTCAGCTAACTTGTTTGAGTTTTATTTTTCACCCTAAATACTTCTTAAAAGCAAATATTTGTACTCTTTTACATAATGCACATTACAATATAAGCCATTTTTATTTTATACTGGGAATATTTGCTGAGCATAAACCTGTTTTTACAGCATTTCACACAGTAGGGCTGCAACTAATGATTATTTTTTATCGATAAATCTGCAGATGATTTTCTTGATTAACTGTCTGGGTTATAAAATGTCAGAAAATAGTGAAAAATTTCTGTCCCAGTTTCTCAAAGTCCAAAGTGATGACTTTAAATGTTTCATTAGTCCAAAGCCTAAAGATATTCTGTTTAATATGACATTAAACAGAGAAAAGCAGGAGATCAGCGTTTCTGAGATGCTAGAAACAGCATTTTTTCATACTTTAACAATTAATTGCTTATCAAAATAGTTTGCCATTTTCTGTTAATTGACTAATAAATTAGTCAACTTATTGTTTATGGTCTAACTCAGAGCTGTAATCTTTATTTTTTGAGTTAAACACACAAATAACAGGACTAACCGGACCACTAGGTGGCACCAATGAGGTATTTGTAGTTAATTGCTTTGCTAAATTAAATAATTACACTAACTTGGCACTTTGGTTAGTTCACACATTTTTTGACAAGGCCTTCCTCACACCGTCGTCTTTGTGTCTGTGATTTCATCAGGTCTGTTGACTGCACATACTAATGCTTTAGGTTAGTTATAGGTGATACTGTTTGTATTCAGAGTTAGTGTTGTTTTCCAAACCCATAGCTTCATAAATAACTTATTATACAGAAAGGTGGTAGATTTTTGACATAAGCATTTCTTTCTGTTGCACTTTCATTGCTGCTTGGCCACTGACGGAGTCCACTTGCGGAGAAGCAGTGATGGGGTTTTCTCTCTGACATTTCCCTTCAGCAGTCTTCATCCAACTGTTCTAATTTCACAACTCCTGTCCTTCCTCATGAGGTGTAGACAGAAGCTTCCCTTCTCGTCCTTTTCTTCATGCTCCTTCACTTCCCCTCTTTACTGCTAGCAACACAGACACTTTTGTTCCTGTTCCTCTCAGAGAGTAGACTGTGGAGGCTGCATTGGTCATTGAAGAAAATATCTGTCAAAAAAACAGAGTGCCACTATTCTGGTGTGATTTGTTGAGACTTGATTGATTAATTAACCAATCCTATTTGCTAGAAAAATGTCCATTTTAATTTCCTAAAGACAAGGGTGATGTCTTCAAGTTGCTTGTTTTGTCTGACCAATAGTCCAGCACCCAAACATTTTTTTAGTTGAATGTCTTACAGGACAGGAGAAGAAAAGCATTTGGTGGAGCTATATGGTATGGAGGTGTAATGCATTCACTTTAGGAAAAAATATTAACAAACTAATTATTTCAGAATTCTGAGAAGTTTACATGGAAAGAATCTGCTCCTGTTTTTCTGACATGGCGAAATAACAATATTGTAAATATATTTTTTGTGAATTAATGAGATTATTATGTTACTGATATTGATCAGAAAAAATGAGAGCAGATTTTTTTTTCTCCATGGAAACTTCTCTCAGAATTCTGAGTTAATTATCCTGTTATTTCGAAAAAACAAGAGCAGATTTTTTTTTAATGAAAACCTTTCTCTGAATTCCACAATAAGAATCTCATTTATTCAGGGTGGGGAAAAAAGAGCAGATTTTTATTTCCATGAAAATATTTGTCATAATTCTGAGATAATATTATTAATTGAGGAAAACAAGAGCAGATTTTTTTTTCATGAACACTTTCCCCTTAATTCTTAGAAAATAATCTTATTAATTTTAGAAAAATGAGCAGATTTTTACATAAATCTTTTTCCGTCATAATTCTGGGCTAATAATCTTGTTAATTCAGAAAACAATTGCAGATTTTTTTTTTTAATGAAAATTATTCCCATAATTCTGAGATAATATTGGTAATTCAGGATAACAAGAGCAGATTTTCTTTCATGAACACTCTTCTCATAATTCTCAGATAATCATTTTATTAATTTAGGAAAACGAGCAGATGTTTTTTCATGAAAGTCTTTCTTAAAACTCTGAGATAATAATCTTATGAATTCAGAAAAACGAGCAGATGGTTTTTCATGAATTTTTTTCTTATAATTCTGAGACAACAGCATTGTTTATACGCATTTCCCCAAGATTCAGCCTAACATTTCTGCTATTGGAAGTACATTTAAAGACGTTAAGTAAACCAAATGTATTTATATTGTGGTGTAGCCTATAATTATATTCTCATAATTTTTAATTACGAACACGTGGAGGCAGTATTTCACAAAAAAACGGTCGCCATTTAAGAAACGAGAGTGGAGAAGAAGAGGAGGACCGCGCAGGACTTAAATTCACTGCACGGAGCTGGGAGACTCTCCGCGGGCGTGTCTGGATCATTTCATACCTTATTTCGTAGGAGACGTGTGTGTATATTAAACCGGCTCAATGGTGCACAAGTGTTGCGTTGACTCGTGCTGGAACACCAAACGGCCCAACCTCGCCTTTCATCGCTTTCCAGTCGGTGACCCGGACAGACTGAGGCAATGGCTGGTGGCTCTCAACATGGAAGTAAACACTCCGCTGCATGTTCTCAACAAGCTGCACGTCTGCCAGAAGCACTTCGAGCCGGATGACTACCACGACATCCTGGGTCAGCCGTCCCGCCGGGCCCGGCTCCTCAAGAGCACCGCTGTGCCCACCACTCAGTTCAGATACACGCACACCTCCCAGACAGGTGACCCCACCGCCACTGTCGTTTACCTGGATTACCTGGTAAGTTAGTGTGGTAGAGAAAGGACGGCTACTTCTCCTCTGCAACTTACAGGACCTGCAAAGCAATAATGATGCAGTAAAAAAAAAGATATGATATTGAATAGTGATTATGCAAAAAATAAATTTACAGCAGTATTAGATAGGAGTTTTAGGTTATCTCCATTTAGATATTTATGTGAACTTTATTTTTGTATTTTTTTTTTAGAAAAAATAAATTGTTCTCCTTGTCATTAAAGCTAGGGTAGGTAGGAATCTGGAAAAGTAAAGGCAGAATTTGAAAAACACACTCCTTCAGCTCTCCTCTGTGTGCTCAGCCCCTCCCACCACAGACCACAGGCATAAGCATGCGCTTTGTACCATAACCCAGCATTTCCCATACGTTTATTTATTTAATAAATAAATAAACTTCTTTATACACAGTACATTCATTCAGCCCCTCCTTGCCCCCTCTCTTCCTTTATCAGATGTAAAATCTGACACGACTTAGCTAGCTAGCCACCCCACCATCCCCTAGCTTCACTCCCCGCTACTGTGGACTCCATCCCTGTAAAGAGAGTGGGCAGCAGCTTGTGAGGCTGACCCATGGTCGGTGACTGTAACAGCTCAAAATCTGCCTGTGCAAACCCCCCAGCACCCAGCGTCACAGTGGGCTGGCTAGTGCTGGGTCTAACCTGTATAACAGCAGCAACAGAAAGTTCACTGATTCGGAGGGGGGTCGAGGCTGTCCAGTTCCCTGGAGCAGGGGTTTGCGTTGGCGGGATTCTTGTTGCTGTGGCTGCTTACTGGGGTCAGTCTCCAGAACTGCTGTCTGCTCTCCTGTCTGCTGTGTAGCAGCGGGGAGTGAGACAATCTCTTGAATGCTACGCTGATATTGCCATGTTTCATTTTGTGTATTGTTAGTCTCTGTTTTAGAGTCTGTCTGGGTTTTATGGGGGGGTTGCTTTGCAGTGTAGGCAGTCGACTCTCCATCACTGAATCAGGCTTTTGTCGAAGGGATGTGGACGTGTGTCCTCTGAAATGACTTGTGATTGGTCAAAGTCTCCTGTCATTACCTTGACTTTCTTAAGCCTGAGAACGGAGCCAAGAGGAGGTTTAGAAGCCTAAAGTTCTCTCTTGAATTAAAACATTATGCCATGCGTTAGATATTCTCTCATCAATAACATCAATAAAACTGAGGAGATGATATTCGACCCCAAAGGTATTGGAAACCATTCACCAGTGGTTACCCATGACCAAGACATAGCCCAGGTTGAGTCATATAAATACCTGGACATACACATGGTATTTGAGAGCATCCGTCTGGCATCTCAGCCTGGTGTGGTAACCTCAGTGTGCAACTGAAGGCCCAGATTACCAGGCTTATGCAGAGAGCCATGAGAATCATGAGAGTCAAGCAGCATGCCACACTCCAGTCTATCTTTAAGGAAACCATTATCAGACAGGCCCAGAAGATTATTTCAGACCCCACCCATGTCCTCCATCATCAGTACCAACTTCTCCCCTTGGGCAGACACTTTAGAGTCCCCCAGTGAAAGCTTAACCACTTTAACAACTCTCTTGTCCCCTTGTCCATTAAAGCCTTAAAGTGGAAGCTAACTGTAGCTTAACCATGCAATGTGTATGTGTAGGTATGTGTGTGCATGTAAGTGTGTATGTATGTGTGTATAGTTATATATTTGCATATATTTACTTACTTTTTTTAACATGACCATGTAATTTTTATGATGACTATGTAAAACAGATGTGTGGTGCAATGGGCAGCATGCAGTTTGCTGACTGATAGCAGTCTGTACATGTCAAACACCAAACAGTATGTTCACTGAGAAGATCACTGGCAGATGAATTGATCATGAAAACAGTTCTTACTTGCAGCCCTAAGTCAAACGGTTTCATAGTTGTAATTAATATGGTACTGTAGTTGTAATCTATTGTGTCTGTTTTGTATGTTTCTTGCATGTTAAGACTGGAAATACATGACTGTACACATTACTAACATTTTTATTGGCAGGTCTTTCCTTACGCTTTTTAAGAAGACAGGTTGCCCTGCAATGAGTTTACTGTAGTCTTAAAGTTTGATTTTCTGATTTTGCCTTTTTAAAGCTGCTACTCATCCTTGATTTTACTTTCAGAGTAATAATTTGTTCATCTATGAGTATTGAATCAGCTGTAAGTCAAAGCATTAGCATCCACAGAGCTATTTACCACAGGCACAGGTGTTTCTTTGCCACTCATCTCTTTACATATCTGGAAATGTCACCGGAATTTGTTAAAAACTTTTCACCAGTTAAAGGTGCGACTCATTTCTCTCCTCTCCTGCAGTATGTGCCAACAGTTTGAATAACCAGTCATGTGGCTAAATGCACTACAACCTGCTTCATGTGGTGAAGTGGCAACAAAGATGAGGATGATGAGATGACTTTGCTTAATCTCTGTTTGTGCTTCTCTCTCCAGGGAAGGCCCCCCTCAAAAAAAGCCACGGTGCTGAACAGGGTGAACAAAGCCCCTCCAGCCCCCACAGGACAGGATGGTGAGGCCACTGAACACAGACACAATTACTTTATTCCAGGACTAAATGAGATGCAAAGTGGCAACTATTTGCAACACATTCTGATGTCACATGTGAACACTAGTATGTCTAAATGTACAGTAAATCTTAACACAAGATACTAGTCTGATCAGGGCCATGCAGTTTTGTGGGTTACCAATGATTTATCCTGCAAAGACTGACTTTACTGGCATTTGGTGCTTGTTTGGGATTATTAGAAACTGCATACATTATATATACACAACAAACATCTCACAATATTTTACCTCAGCTGTATGATCCCTCTGTTCTTCCTGTTCTGTAGCGCTGGCTGCAGGTTTTGAATGGGGCGCCTACTTGGAGAAGGAAACATCTCTGGCTGCATCCGTGTCCTGCTTCAGACATGTGAGTCCTTTCTGCGAAGTGTAATTAGAAACAGTCACAGGTGATGAATGTTCTGGGATTTGGCCCGAGTATTGTAGGGTCAATTATGCCAACTCGTATGTAAAAGTTTGATTGGCATTAACCCAGCCTTTTAAACAGCAAAATCACCAGCATGAAAATTCAAAAAAAATAATAATTAGAAGTAAACTCTGAGTGATGCTGAAAAAAATATCTGGGTTAAAGATGAATGTGAAACAAATGAATGACCTCACACTGATGATCTGTAAGGTAACATGTGATCTCCTACCTGCAGGCTCCCCTGTGTGCCCAGTGGGACGACATCACGGTGGGGGTGAAGGTGGAGGTCCTGAACACAAACGCAGTCCTGCCCAGTAAAGTCTACTGGATTGCTACTGTCATCCAGATTGCAGGTGTGTCCATCTGTGTGTCAGTGTTCATGTTAACAGGCGACTCCACTGTAGAATTATTTGGTTTATGATTATAAAGTTCAGCAGTTGTTGCATTTATTTTCTTATTCTTAATCGATCTTAAAGCTTCTCTGACCCTTAGTAAGCCTATGGATCTGATTTTCTCTGAGTGTGGTGCAGAAGTCTAGTGTTCTCTCAGTCCACTTGAATTACAGTATGCTCAAAGGTTATTACAGGATGTTTGCACAGTGCAGCCACAATTAAATTCCCGACCAGACTCTTAAGTGTATGCTGTATTTAGAATAATCTCACTTCGCCTTGGTGTCAGACAGCTATTTCTGATGGGGAAGTGAACCCCTCTGACTGTGAATATTCACAGGAAATTTTTGTATGGTGTGCCCGGCAGTTGTCAAGGTATTGTACCGAAGTGTTGGACAGACAAAAGGACATACCAACTTTGTCCGCTTCTACTAAAGTTCCACAACCCAACATCTAATCTTTAATAAAAAGTTTATATTGGCCTGATATTTTGGCATGGCAGTAGCATCTTTAGTCACTTCACTCTCTTTCTCTCCCCCCACCCCTTACCTCCAGGATACAAAGCCCTGTTAAGATATGAAGGCTTTGAGCACGACAGCAGCAAAGATTTTTGGTGCAGCCTCGTGTCGGGAGAGCTGAACCCGATTGGATGGTGCGCCATGACGAGCAAGCTGCTGGTGCCACCACAAGGTGAGGATCGAAACTGGGACCACAGCGATTCAGTGGCTTCCCGATGACATTAGGACAGCAGACATGAGTTCTTAGTGTCCTGGCCGTGCCAGCAGTTAAAAAAATATAAAATGTAGCATTACAATTTTAACATTGTTAATTCAGCAGATACTGATGGATTTAAATAAGTCGTGATTGGCCTTTATCAGATATTTTAGCAACAGGATGTCTTCTAATTTGACGATATGTGTTAATAGATGTGAAGCAGGACATCCCAGATTGGAAGGAGTATCTGATGAAGAAGCTGGTGGGGTCCAGCACTCTACCTGTTGACATCTACCTGAAGGTGAAACTTTATACTGAATGATTTGGCTCATAAATGGTAACCCACATGTGTCATACATGTGAAGAGAATGATGAATAAATGTACATGAATAGTTTAAATTCACTTAATTAATCTCTGACCCTTTACCATTCTCCATCTGTCTCTAGCTGGCAGAGAGCATGAAGACCTCTTTCAGAATAGGTATGCGTGTGGAGGTGGTGGACCCCAGATACGTGAGTCGGACCCGAGTGGCCACCATAGACTCGATTGTTGGTGGCCGTCTGCGGCTGGTGTACGCTGACCAAAGCGACGCCCCTGAAAACACAATCTCTGATTTCTGGTGCCACATGTGGAGTCCCCTCCTGCACCCAATTGGCTGGTCCAGCAAAGTGGGTCATGCCATAAAGGAACCTGGTAGGTCGAGGCCTTTTTATCTCATAAACATGATTGATGGCCTGCAATATAGACATAAACACAGACAAAATGACAGGGGCAATAAAATAAAGACAGCAGAATGCTTGAATAATATGCACAATAAATAAAGGAAACTGTAGAGAGAGAAAGAGTGGTACACACATTTCACTCTAGTCATGAACTAAAGCTTTTAACTTGAAATGTTTTTTTTATCATGACAGTAAAAAAAAAAATAAATAAAAGTTGCTTCTTTTTTTTTTCTTACAGCAAACAGTGTGGAAGCAGCTCACAGTGGTTGGAAGGGTAACTGTGACAGTTCACATCTGCTTTTTAAGAAGGTAAGGAAAATGTTGTTATTCAAGAAATAATTCTTCAAATAAATTTCAAAAAGCAAAAGTACAAACAACACCATTTTTTATTACCAAGGTGTGGTTCTATGGAAACATTGACTGTAAATCCCTCGACACTAGATAAGAGTGCAATTTAGGAAATAATTCAGTTTATACTACATCTCTTTTCAGGCAGGTTGCGTCTGAGGTTGCTAGGCAACCTTAACAGTCACCATATCATAGCCTATTTACCTGATATCCTGAGTGCAGAGCTGATCTTCCAGCTGCTGTTTATGTGTGTGGGCATATCGTACGTGAGTCAGATGTAAAGCTCTGGCAGCCCTGCACTAAAATAATCGACTGTTCCGTATTTACCACAGACTGATATTCATGGAAGACGGTAAAGGTATCTGTCAGCTGTGATCGGTTGTTCCTCGTCACATGACGTGCATGCTACTGTGTTCTAAAAGTTGAATTTGGGGCGCAGCCGTTGCACCCTGAAAAGTAGGTGCTCAGGAGCACGTGCACGCTGTGACGGCATCGCTCTGATGTTTGAGTGTGCCTGCCATGCGTCTACATTGAGAACAATGAATTTGAGGGCACAAAATATGTGGCATGTGTACAGCCCCTAAGGGGAGCTGCTTAAGTCTTTGCTGTTTATAATTCCAAATTATTTTAGCATTTATTATTATTATTTGCAAGTCCCCCTCCGGATTTATTTTAAAGTATGCAAAAATACTCTGCTCTGATTCATATTTTTTTTAACATGGTTTTCCCACAGAAAAAGTTTTACTAAAAAGGATCTACTCTTTTTCCCTCATTGAGGAATTCTGGATCTGACCTTGTGCCTCACCCACCTCCACTGCTTGCAGTAGGTTTCGCTTTTTTGATTGCTCCAGCCCTGGCAAAGCGCTAAAACAAAGTGTAGAGATAGGTCTGTCTATGCGAAACCAGCACTAGGTTGACTGGTGAAAGAGCAGTGGTCATCAAGATGGCCAATGTTAGTGCTGGAGGGAATAACAGAGAGATTCAGCCACATGATTGAGCCACAGTCAGACCCAAACTCGGATGAGAGAGTCTGCTGCGCACCAAAAGCTGCAACTATCTAATGTATCAGAATGGTAAAGCGTAATAAGCATCTTTTATTTGTTAATGTTGTTTCTTAGCTTATAACAGGCAATGGCTGAAACAGTGTTAGTGGTTGTGAAACATACAATAATGTCTGCTCTGATGGGGTTTTTGGTAGTTAGAAGAATAAGAATAACTTTATTCATCCCCAAGAGGAAATTCAATAGTTCCTGTGTCAGATTTACATCCAAAAACTGCACAGTCTGCCATGTTTGCTGTCAAAACGTTCAAAATGCTGACTCAGCTCTCTGTATAGACAAGTCCACTTTGCACTGGAGGTTTAATTTTTGTGGCTGGTTTCGTGTCAAGTTTGTTCCCCCGTCGTTAATGTGTTTCCTGTAACACAGGATTAGCTTCTCTATTGACTTGCTCCTGAGTGACTTCCTGGCATGCCTGGTTATGTGGCAGGTTTTCATTATGAAACAGGCTATGTTTTACTAAAACAATAAGAAATGCTATGTTTATTTTAGTTGTTTTAAATTGTAATGGTGAACATTTTCATTCAAAATCATATTTTATATTGTGAACATGATTATAGCTGGCCTCTATGGGCCCCCCAGCAGTTGGGCCCCAGGAACCTTTTCCCCCCTTATGGACAGCCCTGGTGAAATAGCTAATCTTGCTTGATTGTACATTAGAATCTCAGATTTTAAGGAAGTGCACAGACATCGCCCCCTTTCATAGTGGAGTGTGAAAACACCCCTCTAGTGACAAACTTTGCACAGATACAAGTCACTATCATCAAGGTCAGACATTTAAGGGGACATAAACATCAGCAAAACACATTTTTGAGTGAAGGGGGACTTAAAGTCATGTTAAAGTTTAGCTTGGAGCTGAGCTAACAGAAACACTCAGATACTCTCACTTCACTCAGTATGTCCCATTTCATAACTAATTTTCATGACAGTAAATTTTTATGTTATTTCTGATGTGACAATCTGCGCTCACTATGGAAAGTCACACTCTACATAGCGCTGCTTTAACAAAACTCTTGTCAACCACTGTATGATCTGCAGCCCAGGTTTGTTTACATGGAGGGAGGTTTCTTTGAGGAAGGAATGAAGCTGGAGGCCATTGACCCTTTAAACCTGGGAAGCATCTGTGTGGCCACTGTACACAAGGTAAGATAGCTGTTTTTGGTTGGTTTGATTTTGTGTGCTTTGTTTGTTTAATCTTGATTCGACCTCAGTTACATTACCTTCTTTTGAACACACTAACTTTTACATTGTTCTCTCTTTTTCAATCTCTGTTTTCACTCCTCCCAGGTGCTGTTAGATGGCTACCTGATGGTGGGTATAGATGGTACCACATCAAACAATGGCTCTGATTGGTTTTGTTACCATGCCTCCTCTCATGCCATCCTTCCCAAAGACTTCTGTAAAAAGAACAACATCCCTCTCACAGTACCTCCAGGTAAATACAAATGTGCCTCTCTCTTCAGTCTCTGCTTCAGCTGACACTGTGTCTGCAGCACTTGTGCACTCTCTGCTGCTACTAGTTTGCTTCATGTTGGTCTTGAAAGGTGCTGTCAGTTAATGCATGATTTATTTATGATCTGTGTCTTGGCAGGTTATGACCCTCAGACCTTCACCTGGGATAAATACCTGAAGGACACCGGGGCTACAGCTGCACCAGCACGACTGTTTAACGCTGTAAGACAGGAAGGCAGACCAAGACAAACCCTTATGAACCCATCTGTAAATGTATACACACAAATACGTATGCACACATGGCATATGAACCTGTAGTTTATCCATTTCAATCAGGACTACCCAGGTCATGGCTTCTCCCCCAACATGAAGCTGGAGGCGGTGGACTTGATGGAGCCACGCCTAGTGTGTGTGGCCACCGTTAAGCGCTGCGTGGGCCGCCTGCTGCTGATCCACTTTGACGGCTGGGAGGATGAGTTCGACCAGTGGGTCGACCACCAGTCCCCAGACATCTACCCCACTGGCTGGTGTGACCTCATGGGCTACCAGCTCCAGCCGCCTCCTGGGCTCGGTAAGTGCCCCCATTTAATAGGAATACGCCCTAGTGTGTTGTAGAGTTGATTTTAGAGGGTCACTTTTGTGTTTTTCAATCTGGACCCTATTTGACGATGTTTTTGTGTCACTAATGGAGACAAAAAATTTTTAAATTGTTCCAGTACTGAGTGAGAGCACTATCAAAACTGGCTGCAGAGTAATGTTAATGGGCAATTGTGCATCGTTTTTGTCAGTGACAGGCTCCAATTGTTGTTCTTAGTGTCTGACAACATAATGGAAAGGATCCCTACATACAGTGATAGACCTTTCTTTAAAAGAGTAAAATTATTTTTTGTTTACCCAGTAACAGCCCTGAGATTGCTACACCAAACCCACCAGACTCTATTTAAATAAGCAATCATTTTATCATTAAAAAACACACTTCATCATTTAAACTCAACAGAAACAAAATAAAACTCACAAAAAACATCTTGGTTTGTCTTCGTACTGTTCCAACAACAACCAACTCTGGTTTGGTTAAAACAAAATCTTAATTCACACAGATAGATGTGAAAATATGTTTATACACTCTAAAATTACTGTTGATTGACATGTAGTCTGGTGGGTTTGCTGATGGCAATTTCGAGACTTTTTCTGTTAAACAAAAGGAGCTTACTCTTTAACAAAAAGGTCTATCTCTGTAGGGATCCTTTTCATCATGTTGTCAGACACTTTAGCCCCATTTCCATCAAACACCTTCAGTATGGTACCTTTGGAACCAAAAGTAACCCTTTATCCATGGTACCCAGATGCTAGGTCCGTTGAACGTTCCCACCGCAAACAGTACTCTTAAATGTTGGCGGGGTTGTTGTCATTCACTATTTTCATCCAGCACTGGCTGTATTTCCTCATGACTGGCGACACAGATGGAAGTCTGCACCTTGTTTATCTTCCACAGAATGAGGCTGCATGCTGATATTTTTGAACAGAATAGTACAGACAAGAGTGAATTTCTCTCAGTGGGATATTTTTTTTAAAAAGTGTGTTTGTGCTTTTAGTCCTTGTCAGGCAAGCTCAGGGTTTTTTTTTCTCAGACTACAGCTGCTGAGAGAGGCAGCAAAACATCCTTTCATTTTGTAAAACTCTCCACGGTATGAGCAGTGGTAACATGAGCCTCAAAACCAGCCACAACTCAGCCCTGAGCAGAGTGACCGTCCCCTATTGACCAATCAACAGACTGCAGTGTTCACAGCTCCATCTTGTAGTCATGGATCAGTGTGCTAGGTAACCCAACAGAAGGGGTGACCAAAAATGGGGACGGTGCGGAACAGTTCCATTGGTACCATCCACAACTTTTCACAGTGGAGACGGAAAAAATGTGTACTGCTTGGTGGAAACGGGGCCTAAAAACAACACTCTGAGCCTGTCAGTGGAAAAAATAAGCACTTCTGAGTGGACGTAAATTGATGATGCACAAATGCCCTGACAAGTTACATTTATAGTCTCACTCAATACTGAACCAATTCAAAAAATTGTTGTTCCCATTAGTCAGCAGTTAGCAGTAGAGGAGCGACTGCTAACAGGTGTTTCACTCTGTTTTCCAGTTGATGTAGTGGAAAATCAGGCGGTACAAAACAAGAAATACAAGCACTTTGTGTATGGCAAAAAAAGTAAGTTTTGTCTCAGAACTGTATCTGTAGTCTTGTGTCTTGCCACAGAAATCCGATTAGCCCTCACATTCAGTGTTTTCTTACATCACGTAGTGAAGTAACTATTCTCTCCCCTACTTGTTTTGTTGTCAACAGAGAAGAAGAATGCAAAGAAAAGGCTGTCTCAGGAGCAAGCTAAAGATGATGCTGGTCAGCAGCAACCCACGGTCACTAGCACTGATGGTTCTCCAAGTCTCTGTCTTCCTCCAAAAATGCCTCTTGTCCAGCCCAAAACTGAGCCAGAGGAGCGGGAGAGTAAGTGGACAACCTCATACAACATGATGCTAACTTCTTCTCATTTATGTAAGACAATTTTGGTAATTTTCTGACATAATTCTGTCTCTGTAGTCTTTGCAGTGCAGGTGAAAGTGGAGGAGGTGGAGATGGAGACCCCCATTAATCCTCCAGACAACTCTCCACAAGTCTCTCCGGGTAAATTAAAACAGGAGGAGGGAGGGGAGGAGAGCGAGTCAGAGTCAGGACCACATCACAGCTTGAAAAACATAGCAAATGAAAATACAAAGAAGAGTGAAAATGCAGCAGAAAGAAGTGAAGAGAGTGCATCATTGGAAGAGAGCTTTAGTGGTGAAAGCAACATGGAGCAGAGTGAAAGCAAGCTGGACCAAGAGGAGAGGACCCGGGGAAATGATAGTGCCATGGACGAAATTTCAGAGCAGGACACGACAGGAGAGACTGTAGACATGGAGACATGAGATGGGTATGTCTGCTTAAGGAATGAAGAGAACTGTGGAAAAGGTGGATAAGCAAAAGATTGGGCTGACTCTGTGATGAAGTAAAGTAAGCCATTATGGGGAATAAATAACTGAAATAAAACCACCAAAAATGACTAAATGAGACGGCAGGCTGAGCTCTTCAGAGCAAATAATAGAAGTGCTACATGAGCTGGGAGAGTCAGTGCGACTTTTATCTCTAGTGGTTGATGGTGGTGATCTTAAAATTTTAATCCTGGTTGATTTGGCAGCATGTCATAGATTTAGAAGCAGCGATGGCTGGGCGATATGGAGAAAATCAGACTGATATTTCAACAGTATTGAAGGATTGACCATTGGTGCTTTCTCAAAATACTTACACAATGAGATTTTTGATAAATAATTATTAGTAATGTGGATTGAACGGCTAGAACAGTCTGATACATTCAGAAAATTACATCTTCTTACTGTAATGCAGCCTTTAAAACCAGGAATACACTAACAATATTGCAATATCCCAAATCTACGACGATATCTAGTTCCATATCAAGATATAGATATAATATCGATCTGATTTAATTCTGCACACAGCGTGGCACTACAAACATTTACTTAATGCAGCTCTGACAGGCTGTCAGAGACTGAAAAGTAAACAGTAAGGCTGTTATTAGTGTGATAAATTTACAAACTGTAATACTAATTTACATACATGCATGTTTCCTGTAAATCTCATGGCCTTAAATAGGCAATTTGAGTCCATAGCAGAAATGGCGGACTCCGCCACCACCAATAAAAAGTACTATATAGAGGAGTAATTACAGAATGCAGATATGTGTGATGGCTATTGCTGAAAAGATATTGGCCATTAAAAGAATTTTAAAAAGAGGGTTGTATTTTCTGAAAATGTTAAGAGTCATGACTTTTAAGACTTTAACGTCATGGTGCCAGATGGGTTACAAAGACCATTTCAGCCATTCTACTTAACGGTGGAGTGTGCAGGATTTAGGGGGATCTATTGGCAGAAACCTAATTATGTTTTCAGTGGTGTATAATCACCTGAAACCAAGGACCACTGCGTTTTTGTTACACTTCATTTCTACATAGGGAGCAGGTCCTCTTCCACAGAGCATGCCATGTTACACTGCCATGTTTCTACAGTAGCCCAGAATGGACAAACCAAACCACTTGCTGTAGAGAGGGCCTTTCACATTATCACATACAACATTACCATGCATGGAAAGAGAGCGGGGAGCAGAGGGGTAGTTGGTTCTGTAATTCTGCAGCCTCCCTTCTAGATGCCACTAAATACTACATACTGCACCTTGAATTTAAAACTACCTCACCTTCTCCATGTTGGCAAGCTCCACTATACAATGCGTGTGCAGAATTGATAGGTTTCTTTTGTTTTAGTTTATATGAGTTATACCTAACATCCAACCTGTAAATATGACTTTGAAGGTCATTAGGTGACACAGCAGACAAACATGTGTTGTAATGTTTTATTTTCTCCTGTTTTGTATCCAGATGTGTTCTTTTTTTGTATGAATATAAAATCGTTGATTAAAAAAAAACAAAACAAAACTATTCTCTTCAACTTGTCTCAGTGCATGTAGCTGAGTACATTCTGTAGTTGTGGTATAGTGGTTAAGGATAACTAGCATAAAGCCAAAGATTGTACCATTTTTGAGCAAGTAACTAAAGCTAGTGACATTCACTTTATTTAGCTTCTTCAAGACTAAAACTTCAACACAGCTGCTCAGGAGCTTAACAAGCTGAGAATGTGGATTTAATGCTGTGAATGTGAAGAAGGGCAGTGCTGACATAGAGCATGTGTGCTCTGTGTAGGTTCCCTGGATTAAAGAAAATCTTTTTGATGAAACAGCAAACATGAAAAACTGCAAAAACGAAGCTGTCTAATGAAAAACCGACTGGCAGGATATGTGACACCACCTCGGCAGGTTACAGTTGTAGAGAGTTGAATCCATGGTTTAGCCTCAGGAAGAGGTTGTCTCAAAACATCAGTACAAATGGCAGCAGCTTCAGGCCATGCTGCGTCTCTTGGTGGTTTTCCTGGCTGCTGCTGGTTTTGGGTTTGGACTTTTGCGAAGTTTGGATTTGGCCTTGAGCATTTTGACCTGCCGAAGGCCGTTGAGGTGCATTGGTTTGGGTTTGGTTGCCTTGGGTGCCTTGGCAGGCTTTGGGGTTGGGGCAGCAGGGAGGCTCTCACCCCCAGGACAGGCTTTGAAAACATGGACGTCCTTGACCCTGCGACCCCTCAGCTCAGGGGGATTGGCACAGGTGGCTCGTACCTTCAGGTTAACTTTCTCAATCCACCTAGAAAAAGAGGAAAGAGGGTATTATCAAAAATTCAGAGAAAACCATCTCAACAAGGGGTAGCTACAGCAACTCAGAGTGGAGTGTAATCGTGTTATTGGGCTATTGGGAGTAACCTAATCATATATATTGGTGAAGAATGCTCACAACAAGGCCTGTGGATTGTCTTGAGTAAGTGGGTCATGATTTCTGGAAAGACAGATTGCTGTTGAGTTTTTAAAATGTATTATAGTGCTTTGAGCATCACAAGCTGAGTGTAGGAAGAAGGCAGACATCTCTACGGCCAGTATCTTCAACACAACTCACACCAAAACAAACTAGATTGATAAATAGCACTACAGGTAAGAGGAAATATTTATGTTTCATATTTTGGAATGAGCTGCCCCTTTAAGGAGCTGTAACTCCTGTTGGTCAAACCCAAGCCATTTCTGACTACATTCATTGTGCTGTAGTTGTCTTACATGCGTAGCGGCAGCAGAGGGCAGTCACACATCAGAGGGTTGTCAGCCAGGTTGATGACCTCCAGTGAAGTGAAAGGGTGGAGGTTAGGCACCTCTTCCAGCTGGTTGCCCTCTAAAAAAAGACTCCTCAACCCTGGACCCAGACCTGCCAGGGAGTTCTGTGACATCTGGAGTGAGAGGTCACATCAGAATATTGCTAAATAACCTCTCTTAAAGGATCTGTCTCTGATCCTAAAGCCACACACAGTTATGGAGTATGTGGGCTGGTTAGAGAAAAAAAGAAAGTATGAATAGAAAGGTCTAAGCTGCTGTATGAGGGTGACTAGTAGCCCACTCACCTTCTCCAGTCCCATGTTATCCAGATACAACTCCTTCAGTGAGCTCTCCAATGGTCGAAAAGCATTCGGCCCCACCCAGCGAACTGAATTCCCTGACAGCCTCAGGTCTCTGAGGTTTCCCGCCTTGCTCAGCGCTTCAGTGGGTACCTCCGTCAGCTTGTTCCCTCCCAGGTGGAGTGTATCAAGGTCACTGGCCTGGTCCAGAGCCCTGGATGACACATGATCGATGGCGTTTCCAGTGAGGTAGAGGGCTCTGAGGCCCTCAGCTCCGGTCAAGATGTCTGGCTCCAGCTTGGAGATGGAGTTGTTCTCCAAGTGCAGTGCCAGAAGGCTGGGCACCAGTTTGAAGGCTCCTTTGGGAAAACCAGTGAAGCGATTCTTCTCCAGGTGGAGGTAGGTCAGCTGAGGGAGGCCTGCCAATTTAGATTATAGAAATTAAATTTAAGTACTAAGACACAAGTCAGAATAATACTGCAAAGGCCTTTTCTTCTAATTTAGCATTTCAAAGACCTTTAAAGGCGTCAGGGCTGAGGGAAGTGAGGTCATTCTCTGACAGGTACAGGTAAATCAGTCCCTTCATTCCACTGAAAGCCCCACCCTCAACCTCCACGATCTTGCAGCGCTGCAGATGTAGGGACACGACCTGGGCAACACCGGGGAAACTGTTGCTAGGGATGTAGTGGAAGTTGTTGCCACGCAGGTCAAGGAGACGAGTGTTGGGAGCGAAACCCCGAGGAATTTTGGTGTGACCGCGGTTCTCACACGAGGAGTGGTGTGTCTCAGCCTGAAGACAGGGAGGTATTGGAAATATATGGACAGAATGGACAAATCATAATAATTTACACTCTCTTTGACATTATGTAAAGGTATTTCCATCAGCTACAGTGGTTTAAAAAAATTAGATTTAAGGCATAACTCAACATTTTAAGGGATATGCTTAAAGGTAGATGGGAAAAATCAACACAATTCTAATGTCTGTTGGCTACATATGTTGCTACAGTCAGCAGGCAATTAGCTCAGCTTAGCATAAAGACTGTAAACATGGTGACTCTATCAAAATCGAGTATCCATCCAGCACCTCAGAATGTTGTCATTTATCAGTTTGATTGGTTGCCGATGTCAAGAGTTTGATATAATATGGGCTGGTCTGAGACTTTTGGCAAAGTTTCTTCCTGCCTCCAGTCTTTATGGTAAGCTAAGCAAATTCCCTGCTGACTCTGGCTGTATATTTAGCAAACAGATATGAAACATGCACAAAAGCCCACCTCCCAAAATGTCTCAATATTCCTTTGATGTCATGTTTCTTGTGTCAGTTTGAAGGTCAAGAGTAAGCATGATATGCAGCTACAAGTCATTTTTTGAGAAACTGGTCAAAGTCACTTTGGGAAACTTGAAATCAGCTTTCAGAAGTACAAGTAGGTAAGAAATGTGTACGTACTATGGCTAGGTATTGGTAGTGAATACCTTTAGGGCATTGACCGATGTAACCCAGTACCAGAACTTCTCCAGTGAAATGATACCAGCATTTGAACCTTTTTGCACTGGGGGTCTGATCCTGGACTGTCCCGCCTCCCTGCTGGATCAGCAAAATTTCTGTTGTTGCTGTCTCCAGAGCCACGCTCCTACCAGGGAACAGTCAGTTCAACGTCTTCCTACATTAGCCAGAGCTAACACAGCAGCAGTGGCTAGGCTCCCAAGACCGAGCTGTTCAACTTTCTCAACAAACTAACACAGACACCAAAATGGCTCGACTCTGTTGCTAAGCTTGTTAATAACCATTAAATAACCTTAGCTGTGTGTCTCTAACAGTTAGCCCTGTCTTTGTGTGTGTGTACAGGTTGACTCCCACCATTTATTGCCAGCCTCATCTTGTGGTGAATTTGAGCATGGTTTATTGATTTGGAAGTTCACCACACTGAGATGCAACTACAACATTCAATAGTATAGCTAGAAACTACACATGCCACTCCATTCACATTGTGGGTATGGAATGAAGCACTCTACTGGTATCTTTATCACTTTAAGAGAACTGGTATTTTTAATGGTATCGTAATTTTTCAAACCATACCCAACCCTAGATCATACACTACAAAGGTAAATCTCAAAACTTCATACAGCCCACTCACCTCGCAGACACAGTTAACAGGACACTTGACCTTGTTCTCTGGATCTGGTGTGGGTGGTGTGATCCGGGTTGCCTCCTCAAATTCTGCCTTCAGCATGGCCTCCTGGCTCTGACAGCGCAACTCAGGAGGGTGAACAGCCTCCAGGTTCTCTCCTGACAGATGGGCCGGTCCTCCACATGTCCCCATCAGCTTCACCTTGTTCCGAATCGACCACTCCCTGTAGCAAGGTAAAGGGAATTAAAGCTCTGTGGTCTAGAAGTCAGCTATCGCTTCAGCATCCACAAAGGTGTGCTGTACCTGAGTGGACGCAGGTAGCAGTTGCAGTAGATGGGGTTCCCAGCCAGGTTGAGGCGTGCCAGCTTGGGTGAACCTTCAGAGAAGGGCTGGATGACACGCAGCTGGTTGTAGCTGATGTCCAGGTGGACGAGGTTGGGGGATTTTGATACAGCTGTGTTTGCCATGTCCTGCAGAGACATGTGGTCCAGGAAGAGGTGGGTCAGTTTGGCCATGGACACTGCATCCTCTCCGAGGTAAGTCATTGGGTTGTAGCTCAGATCCAGACGGGTCACCTCTGGCAGTCTGGATGCAGAGCGGGAGAAGTGGGGAAAATTGGATTGTAATTTCAGGCCTAGTATTCAAATATTACTCTATTAGAGCACTCAGAACTATTTTCCCTTCAAGACACCGGGTGACTGTGATTTTTGCTGTTGTCTCTTAGCCTTGCCAGCAGCACAGCTCTAGAGATGGCCATTTGAGTCACCGCTTGGGTCTGGTCTGAAATATCTCAACAACTATTGAATGGACTGCTATGAAATTTGTTACATACATTCCTGTTCCTAGAGCATGAATCCCACTGACTTTGGTAATACCCTGTCTCTTCCTCTAGTGCCACCATGAGGTTCAGGTTTGTGGCTTTGACTGAACTTTGGAACAGATATCCGTGTCTCCCTCAGGAATAATTCTACTATCTTTTTGTGATCCCCTGATCTTTCTGTGTAGCTCTATGGCAGATCAGCAGATCACAGATATGCCAAGCTGCCTACCTGGTCATGGTCTCAGTGGGGAAGAACTGCAGCTCATTGTGATCAAGGCTGAGACGGGTGAGCGTAAACAGCCCAGCGAAGGCCTCAGTGTCCAGGTAGTTTAGAGAGTTGTGACTAAGACGGAGCCATTTGATGTTTTGCAAGCCCTGGAGCAAGAAGAGTTTGGCTTTTTAGTTGATGTTCCAACAACAGGAGACATTCCTGCATTTTGTTTAAACCACCTTTTCAGTTTGCCATTTTGAGGTATTTTGCTACCTGGAAGGCCATGTTGGGGATGTAGACCAGCTGGTTGTGTGTAAGGGAGAGCAGGTTGAGGAAGCCGAGCTGAGAGAAAGCTCCAGGCTGGATCTCTTCCACGCGATTACGGTCGATCATGAGCTGCTTCAGCGAGGACAGGCCGTCAAATGACTCCTGGACAAATAAAAAAACGAATTTTTATCCTGTTGCACTGAAAATGTGTATGGGGGTGGGAGATGTTAGTGTCTCATTAAAAACTCAGTCAAAGTGATGATGGGATAAGTGATGGTTGTGAGAACTGGATCTGCAATGTGTGTGTGTGATGACCTGGTAGAGGATGTCGATGTTGTTGTTGGCCAGGTTGAGGAAGACCAGGCGACCAAGGCTGCGGAAAGCCCCCTCCTTCACCCTGCGGATGTTACAGCGCTGCAGCGATAGGTGAGTCAGGTAGGGTGTGTGTTTGAAAGCCCCGGTAGGCAGTTCCTGGATGTTGTTGCCTCGAAGATCTAATTTCACTGTGATCTGTAAAGAAAGGGATTCAGTTATCAGATGGAAGAAGATGGGAACTAAACATACTACAGAAATATGTGTATGTGTGTGTGAATTTAGGACCTCGTCAACAGTTGGAGGAACTTGGGTCAGGTTCTTGTTGACACAGGTCACAGTGAGCTGGATCTGGTCACAGATGCACTCCTTTGGACATTTTGCTGTGTGTGCTGCAGGAATGCAGAGGAGGCTGAGCAGCAGCACCCAGAGGGTGTCGGGACAGAGCTGGAAGTACATCTGAGAGGGAAAATAATACCTCAGTCACACGATTGTATGTAGTAGGAATTCATAGTTTAAGGAACTACTTAATCCACAGAATAACCATTTGTATATCAATTACAGTGAACTCATAAAGGTAACATCATATTTCTCACATGCTTCCACAATGAATGAAGAATCTGCAGCAAAATGATATTATGTGAAAGTGGTATGTGTTTTAAATAGTATTATTTTAGCAAAAATGTATGTGTTTGGGAAGTACTGAGAATAAGACTGGATAAATACCACTTGGATTATACTGCACAAGTTATGTGAGTTTGTAAACAGATGTTTTGATATAGTTTTACTGTTGTTAACAGTGACTCTAATTCACCAAAAGTTTTCCCAGTTTTTGGATTCTTCGTCCATGTGGAGGCATGCAAGAAAAACAAGGTTTTCTTCGCAAATTTGGCATAACACAGGGTGAGTAATTGATATACAAATTGTCATTTTGTATGTGAAATATTCCTGTAATCGTCTTACTAAACCTCCTCTCAGCCAGTGACACAGTAAATGTACAAGTTGTTTTGTTTCATTAGGGACAAGCCACTAGCAACTAGCAACTGTTTTGGTATTTTTTAGGTGTGAGGTACATTTTTAGATCCACCACTTAACCAGTCATTCATTCAGTCATTCATCGGCTCACTCATAAAACTTACTTTGTTATGGCAGTGTCTACAGAGGAATCAAACCTATTCATTTTATGTAGTTATAGTTATTTTGATGAATTTAATGCAAATGCAGGTGGACCACATGTGTTAGGACCCCAGACTTTTCTGCCTCAGAGGCACTGCTTTGCTGTAAGTCAAGTGGAAAGTAAGTTAAGTATATTTGCTCAAGTACCTAAGTACCATTTTGAGGTACTTGCCAGTTGAGTGTTCCCAGTTTATGCTACTTTATACTTCTACTCCATTATATGTAGAGGGAATATTTTGTGCTTTGTACTTCACTGCATTCATTAGATGGTTATAGATACTTTTCAGATTAATATTTTACATAAAAATTATGATAAGCTTATTAAATACAATGCATAGTTATTAAGATTAAAGTGGTGGTTTCCAGCCTTGTTGGTTTGTGAACATTCGAACAAGCAATGTCTAGTTGGGGTGAGATATCAATAAGTTGCTCTGTCAGAGACACATTTACATTCTAAATGTCCCATTAACTTTATGTTGCTGCCTGTCTTGGCCAGGACACCCTTGAAAAGGAGATTTTTAATCTCAAGAGTTTTTTTTTTTTTTTTTTTGATTAATGAAGGTTAAATAAAAATAAATTCCAAATGGTCATATAATTAACTGTGTAAAGCCTGGACCAAATAGCAAAAACAATAGTAAAAAGAATAAGGAAAAATAACAGGATTAAAACAAATAAACTATATTATATAAAAAATAAACAAATACATTTATAAATATACACAGAAAAATTTGCAAACTTTATATGCAAATGAATTCATATTTTATAAATATAGAAATATATAAAAACTGAATTAACAAATGTGAAAATATATGAAAATGCTTGTTATTATTATTATTCTATTTGTCTTAATAATCCCACATTTTTATTATTTTATTATCGCTTCATATTTCTATATTTTTTAAATTTACTTATTTATGCTCTATTTATTTATCTTGATATTTCCTTCTTTTTTTTTTTTTGTTTTATAACAGATTCACTATTTTTTATGGAACTTCTGTGATGCATAATCTCACAACCCCTCAGATTTATTTTGTGATGCTTTGAAGGGGCCTGACCACCAGGTTGGGACTGTCTGAACAAAACTAGCAACAGTAACTGAGTCTAAAGTAGAAGAACTTAAGTGAAGTGCTTCTTACACATTAATACAACAGTATTAACTGTAAGGTTATGGTCCCGTATAGTAATTACAGAGGGATAATTTTCTGCAGAATGAGTAGTGTTACTTTGTTACTTCATTCAGTTATTTTAGCTGCTAATATTTCTATGCTTTAACTTTAGTAGAATCTTAAATGCACTGTATGTAAAGAGGATGCCGAGCTCAGATACAATTAGGGGCACCTGCAGGATATATTAACCACAACCTGAGAAACTCAATTCTAACTCAATCAGAGAAGGGTGTGTGTCACATTGTTTTATATTTCCCTACTAAAGCTCAGTTTAACGAACAATCTCTCCATCATTCTGTACTTTGGGGGATTCGTATTATTCTGCTCAGATTGGCCTGCCCCAGTCTTCACTGGAATGCCTTAAAACCACATTCCCATGTCGGATCAACAGTCTTGATCCGCAGGAATGGACATGAAAAGCTTCACAGCTCCACACTCTGAAATTTGGAGTCTCAAACTGTTGGCGCGGCGAAATGGTGCCATGCTTAAACCTTTCTGCCCAAACTGCTGCACAAAATCCTGACAGAGAAGAACCTGAGAGCAGGACTGTATTAATCAGAACACTGAAAATAATACTAAATTTAATTTACTGTATATGAAGTAAGGGTTGCATGGAAATCATGCTGACTGTACGTCAGGCTGTATAATATTTCGACAGCATATCTACCACGTTTTGTTCCTAAGACCCCCTGAGCAGAGAGGGGCCACGAAACTAGAGACGGAGGAATTTTCTCCTGCCGGACTGTTTGTCCGCGTCCCCCTGGGGATCAACAGTCCTCACCGCAGAGGAGCCGCCGCGCCGGCCGCGCACAAAGACGCACAGTGTCTCTGCGTGCCGGTGTTGTGCCAAAACGCGTCTCCCCTTGAAAAAAAAGTGTGTCCCTTGGCCAGGGACGGTGAGAGAAGTAGCTACTCTCAATCGGCTCTGAATGCTTTTAACAGAAATGACCTTTAAATATTGTGTCTTATTTCAACATATATTAATGTTGTTTTGTGCGTAAACGGGGATGTTGGTGTAATTAAGTTTTGGAAATGGCAAAACCCTGCGAGATCATCTTTTCTGGAAAAATACCAGCATTGTATTTGTTTAATTCGCGCACTTTATGACAACAAAGACATTGTTAAGTCTTCAGCGTGACATCTGAAAGTGTTTTCTTTATTCGAACGCTAAAATGCGCAAAATAAAACACAGCGTTTCCACATGACTAAATGATTATGCAATTTCAGTATTAAACTTTCATTTTGATTTTTCTGTGTTCAAATTTCACCAAGGCAATCACTCGAGTAAATGTACGTGTTTAAATGCACAAATGTGACTATTAACAATAAGTACAGGAGACCATTTTACGCACAGACTCACCGTGCTTTCGTCGTGCTTCTGTCCAGCTGTGGGTCGGTTACTGGCTGTAGACTCTCTCACGGTCTCTGCTCCCTCTTGCTGCTCTTCCCCCGGCTGTCCCCCATCCAAAACAAACTCCGTTTATCCCTTCATTCACTCACACTCCCCGCCTCCGACACAAACACACACCTCCACGTCCCACCTCTGGAGTCTGCACATTGCTCCAGCCTGGTAAAGGAATGGCTCAATCTCCACTGAGGTTGGAACAATAATCTCAGCTTTCTTGCTGTTATTTTGCTTCTAAAACAGCAACACACAAACACTTACAATCATAAATACACAGACGAAGAGTCAGGCTTGTTAGATTAGTTATATTTCTGAGAGGCTTTCAGTACATATCAACATATCAGGTAAACAAAAATTCTCCCGACAATATAAATGCAGTCCATATGGTGTAATGTCTAAATGCCATTAAAGTGTAATCCATTCTCACTCCATTTCCCTTAAAGGCTCCCTCACATCACAAACACATATACAGCTATATGAGGTAACACACAGCAACCCAAGTTGTGCAGCACAAAGTCCTATAAGAGCACATTTATATATTAAGACTGATTATGGATGGAAAAAAGACACATCAGGTGAAAGTGATTGTGGTCCCCTGAGCTCTGCTGTGTTATGACTGGGCTCGGTGCACGGCGATGCGCGCACACACACGCTGTGTATTCAGGCTCATGGGCTCCTGTATGCAGCCCCATTCCTGCTCACAGTCTGATGCACACAGCAGCAGCCCGATTTGACTGGACCTGATGAACAGCGGTGTGATGATTGTGATTGGACAGACTGTTCTAAAACTCTGACAGCATGCAACGCATCCTGTCAGGAAAACGGAACCATAATTCCAGCTTTTTATTTTTGACTAATTCATTTTGTTTTATAGATTGCATTTTTTTTTTTTGTTAAATACGATTCCTCTGAATTGTCTTGGCCTCTCCATTTCTGTCTCAGCAAAGCAGCAAATACCAAAGTATGTGAGATACAGGTCTACAAATACAGCAAGTCTGTAGCTGTGTGTGAGTATCTACCATTCTTTGAAAAAAATTACAACACAACTTCCAAATTTTTGAGGACCTGGAAACAACCTAAATCTGTTAACCTATTCCTGTAGCTGTGTGTGGACCATGTCTGAAGTAGATGCATTCTTTTGTTCTTGTTTAACAGTGAATTCTCAAACTATATATATCTAAATGCAAAGTGATATGTTGCAAAAGGTGCCACATTGACATTTTCTAATGTTAGCTCCACTCCAAGTTACAATCAGTTCCAGTTTTTTTTATACATTAACCCATACCTGATGTGCATTTCTAGATTTTCTATAAAAATATAAGTCACAAGCATACGTAGAAAAATAAAAACTAAGACATTCTGGACAGTTTTTGCCTTCATAAAATATACAAATGGAGAGTGGAGATACATTAAGTGGTCGTCCTTTGTTCAAGTGTAAAGCTTCCCTGTTTGTTTTGTTGGTGAAGATGATACAGTCAGTACAGTGTGTGTCCCAGTGTTGGTACTGGCAGTGGTTGGTAGGTGGGATCAGTGTTAGTCGTGGCACTTCTTCTCCAGAGTGGAACTCAGTCTCTTGCTGGCACTGCTGCAGGACTCCAGAGCGTCAGTGTGCCTGCACATTCACAAAGACAAAACGTACGCGGTGTAAGACTTCAAAAGGCAGCATCACACTGCAGGAACTACTGAGACTTTTTTTTTTTCCAATTGGTTACAAACTGCTCTAAACTGTTTTATTCACAGGTTTCACACTGACTGACAGCTTAATGTAAAATGAAACTTGTGTAGATAAATGATCCTACTTGGACACGAAGGTGTGAAGCAGTGAGGCGTGGTGCTTGGGGAAGTATTCCTGCTGGACAGCGTGCTCCAAACACAACAGCTGACCTGGCACCAGTGACACCTTTTTCATCTTCACCTCTCCCTGAAACGAGAACAGAGAAGCAGAAACCCAAATAAACTAAAATGTAATCAATAACCAACCACTTCAACTGTGTTATGGTTCAAAGATCATAAAAGTTACTACCAGAATCAGAATCTGGTTTATTGCTAAGTTGGTTTTTCACATATAAAGAATTTGATTTGGTGTTTTGATACAAAGATAAAAAATATACGGACGGAACACTGAAATACCACTGGAGATTGTGGAGGCAGTGTAGTGTAGTTCAAGTGAGATACTACCATAGGAGACAACGAAGAAATTGAAATTATGGTGAAATAGAATGAATCGGTAATATAGTGAAAGAGTTCTCCGTCCACATTTAGGGATGTAATTGTACACGGCCACACAGACCACCACTGTCTACAATGCTTCCTCTGTTTAAAAAGGAACAATAATACAACATCCTCCACCATCACCTTGTTTGTTGTTTTGTGAAACTTTTGACTCTGCCCTCTAGTGCCATCTGTTGGCGGTATCTACACTATTATAAAGGACGCGTGAGGGGCGTTTACAATGTTTGAAACCGATGTACCTTTTTCCGTACCTAATGGGTATATAAAGTAGGCTAAATCTGGTGGTGCAGGTAGTAAAAGTACAGAACTGACATCTGTGTGAAAAGGACATCCAGAAGGAAGGGATAGGCATGACATCTTGATGACATTTTATTTGGGCAACCCACCGCTGGGAGATTTAAAAAGCAGCTGATAGCAGTTAGCAGCTAACTCAAACAAGCAGAGGAGCAGCCAAAAATGTTCCCAAATTGGGGAAACAATGAGGTTAGGGAGCTTCTTACCATCTGAGCAGAGGATGGGAACTCCAGAGATGGACTAACTGGGATGGTAAATGATTGTTATTGCCATGCTTACATCATTGTTAATGTTTAGAAAGTGCTGCCGATGCTTACATTATATGTTACAATAGAAGCTGACATGATCGTCACACCTCTTTTGCTTTCACAACACTAGCACGCTATCTAAAAACCACACACCGAAGTGCATTATGCTGCTGTTGTTTGGCTCTGTGTAAAAAAGCAAAGCCAGTGTAATTAGGGGTCTTCATCGTAGCCCTATCGCAGGATCTCTATGTAAAAGGGGCTTGTGTGAGTGAGGGTCTAGGCCTTGTAAAGAAGTCAGCTGCAGATGGAAGAAACTGTTCTTGTGCCATGAGGTTTGGTCCTACTAAACTGCAGCCTCCTGCCAGAGGGAAGTCCCTCAAAGAGTTTGTTTCCAGGGTTTGAGGGGTCAGATGCAATCTTTCCTGTCCGTCTCAGGGTCCTGGAGGGATGGCAGACTACAGCCAATCAACTTCTACGCAAAGCAAATGATGCACTGCAGTATACCCTTGTCCTTAGCTGTGGCATCAACGTACCAGATGGTGATGGAGCAGGTGAGGATGGACTCAATGATTCAAATGTAGATGTGTGGAATGCGTGCAGAATTTGTATATGATTTGACTAAATTTAACGTTAAATATTAGATTAAACCAGCGCCCATAAGTTCAGTGATGTTTTGGAGACACAGGGTTTGGGGTACAGTACCTTGAGGAGTCCCATCATGACCAGCAGTGTGGAGAGGAAACAGTATGACTGGAAGGCTGAGGCAGAGAGAAGCTTCTTCAACAAAACATCTGTGGGACAGAGTGATGCAGGTCATTTAAACGAGACAGCAGGGGATGTTTATAAAGGGTGAGTTCTATCAACAACAGTATCTGAACCACAAGTGGAGATCCACATGAAAGTAGCATTTTATTCACCAGTTGTTTCAAGGACAGCAGTCTTGGTCTCTGGTTCCTCACTGTACAAAGAAGTGATTTTCAGAAGGACATCAGCAGCCTTGTGTGGATCAGATGCATCTACCTGTTGAGGTAAGAGAAGAGTTTTATTGACAGGATATATCCAGTCTGTTTGTACACCTAATCCAGCAGAATAAAAAAAATAAACAAATAAGGACAGTTAAAGCAGAGGGTGATGGCAGCAAACAACCAGCCTGGACACTTCACATTCACGAATTGTAGATTCCTACCTGTTGCTGCAGGTTTGTCCTCATGTCTCCCAGCTGAAGGAGCCTGTCTGCAGAGGGGCAGCTGAGGAAAGACATGATCTCTGGCTGAGGGTGGACACAAAGTCACAATGAGAAACATAAGCACAAAGTAACTAGTCTAGAAATTAGCACAATAGACACAACACTTAATATAACAGTTGAAGAAGAATACCTTCAAGCTTGTCTGTTGTAAGTGCATAAATATAAAAATGTATATTACGTCTAACATCTTACTGGGCTCTGAAGTTTTTCAGGACTGTCATCTTTTCTTGTTATTCCATTTTCCTTTACGATTTCACCGTCCTCCTCAACGTCTTCACTACAGTCATCACTAGCATCATCATCATTTTCGTGGTCGTCATCACCTTCTTCATCCTCGTCATCAGGCTCTCCCTCATCATCACTACAGTGAAGTTAAGAAGACATTTTTTTCCTTTAAACTTGCTTATTGTTAAATTAACAAGCTGATCAGAGATAACTTGAGTTTTTTGGTATTGATACTGGACAACAGCTTCAGAAAAGATTCACTGCATCACTTAGTGTCACACAAACACACGTGTGTATTACCTGAGTGATCCCAGCATGTCTCCTTTGTCCATGTTTTCCATAGTTTCCCTCAAAGCCTCACAGCCCTCCTCTCCCAGACAGTTACCTGTTAGAGTCACATACAAGACTTTCACCTGTTGTGTCACCATTTTCTTATCTATGTTCAGGTCACAAAAAGTACTTTAATTGAAACTTCACATTTTCATCATATTCAGCAATTCGCTAGACACTGGATTCCATATATTTTCCAGTATTTTCACAGCCGTGGAATCCTCCTGATAACTGCTACCCCTACAGGGATAGTAAGACCAGTTTCATGGTCAGTGTTCGTACCGTTCAGATCCACTTTATCCATATAAGGTTTGTCCATGACAGCCTGAGCCACCACAAAAGCTGCTGCCTCTGTGATCTCGCCAAATGACAGATTGAGCTCCTGGAGAGAAGGAACATAGCAGAGCACTGTAAGCAGCCTGTTGACAAGACAGACAGAAAAGGCTGAACTCTGATAGTGAGCTGACCTTGAGGACTGGCAGTCCCTCCCTGAGGACAGCAGCGAGGGCGATGGCTCCTTCTGAGCGTACCAGACAGTCTCCAAAGTTGATCATCTGCACGTTCCTCAGGTGCCTCAAAGCCTGTGTGGCCGACAGGGGTTAACAGTGAACAAAAACAGTTCAAACACACTGGCTAAATATCTACTCTACTTATACGGAATGTGTGAACAGGTCTCACCTGTGCCATGGCCAGCGTTCCCCTCTTGGTGAAGGTGTTGTCGTTGAAGTTGAGGACGCGGAGCTCTGGGTTGTGTCGCATGGCTGAAGCCAACGCCATCACACCTGCGTAGTTGATGCCATTCTGAGGCATGTGAACTTCTTCCAGGCTGCCGATCAGCTTACATGGAAAAACAGAGAGTAATTTGAAGTTTAAGGGGCTGTCATTTAATGCCAATCATTTGAATCATTCATCTTCAAATGTCTTGTTTTGTCTAATCAACAGTCCAAATCACAAAGATTTTAAATGTACACAAATACAAAACAGAGAAAAGCTGCAAATCCTCACATTTAAAAAGGTGGAACTGGGGCATGTTTAGCAATTTCGCTTGATAAATGACTATTAATATTTAAGTGGTTATCAAATAGTTCTCTATTATTTTCTGTCTATCATCAAATAATCTTTTCAGCTTTATTTGAAATGTTGCCCTGACTATAATTAATTATGATTAAAAATTTGTGGGTGATTATTTTCTACCTGGAAGGCCTTAGCCAGGGCGCTGGCTCCTTCGTTTTCCAGGCGGTTCCTTCCTGCAATGAACACTCTCAGTTTGAGTGGAGCTCCGAGCGCTGATGACTGTCTGTGGCACTGAATCAGAGCTTCAGCCAGGATCTACACAAACCATACAGCACTGTTACAGCCTGAACTATAATGCAAGAACATATCAAAATCTCCCATGTGGGTAATTTTTATAGTTGCTTCGGAGATAAAATTACTATTTAGAAAGTGTTTGAGAGATTGACAGGGTTAGGTCAAACAAACTCACCTTTCCTCCTCCAATCCCCATGCCACAATTGTTGAGCCTCAGCACCCTCAAGGTGTGGCAGGAAGGGCTCTTCAGCAGCTGCTCGATTCCCTTCACACCATCTGGTCCAAAGGCATTATCGCTCAGGTCCAGCTCCGTCAGCCTGGCCCCTGCATGCATTAATGCACTGCCCAAGCACCTCTGATTCATTCAAAGAAAGAGAATGTGTGAAACAGGCATGTTCTCAAGGCTGTGTATTACAACACATTATCACAAAACAAATCCTGGAAATCAAACAGCATTAACAGTGTCTCAAAGTCTCACCAGGGCTGTCGGGATCTCAGAGCGCAACCTGCCAGTGAACATATCACTCCAGTAACATCTCTGAAAGACACAAAGAGCTTTAGACAGAAGGAAAGCAGCATCTTCTCTGTTGCTACAATGAACAGAAGGAAATTTTAAAGTATTATAACTAAGTGTTTTCTGGCCCATGTGTGTTTATAATAAATGCAAACTATGCATTGGATACCTGGAGCTGGTCTTTACACTCCAGAGCCTTCGCAATGGCCCGGGCTGCATCCACTCCCACAGTGTTCCCCTCCAGGCGCAAAGCTCTCAGACCCTGGTACTGCTCGATCTCACGGACCAGCTCCCCCACTGAAAGCAGAGAACAGGAAGTCAGGTCTGAGGAGAAAACAGACACCTGTGCTCTGGTGTCAACTGTAACACCGTGGTGAATGAAAACGAAAACAAAACTAAACCCTATCTGACCTGATTCTGCGTTGTCCAGCTTCAGTCCCAGGCCTTTAAAGCTCAGCTCTCCATCCCCGACGTGAGTCTTGGCAAGAGCATCAGCCAACTGAGAGATGTCATCTGAGGCCATATTGACTATAGAAACATCCAGAAGTCAGACATTAGAGAGAGGAATCACATTTTAGTATTTTACTCAACATATAAATGAACAAAAGTACAGTGTTTTGCCCGGAATCGAGAACTAAAGTTCAGTGACAGTGGTAACATTACGAACAGAACATTTACTTAGAAGAATTGTCAACAAAAGCCACGGTAGCTAACGTTAACGTTAATTAGCCTCACCGGTGCTAGCTAGTAGAAGTACGCAGCACGAGAGACGTTTAAATCACTAGCTAACGTTGACTATTAACTTAAACTAATGTGACTAATGTGAGTTCTGACTTTATAAAGTGTTTTATCGCGTCTCTCAACCATTAAAACAACCATACAGCTCTCACTGAAGCAGTGAAACTTACCACAAAGAGCAATTTCCTAGGAAACGACAGAGAACACACACCGCTCTTCCGCGCAGCGCGCCGGTTGCTAAACCATGTGACGTCATGCTGACCCGGTTTCTTCTTCGTTGATTTTCCTAACTTCAGTTAAAATTGATCTACAGGGCTTTACCGCCATCTGCTGTTGCCACCCAAACGCCGTTAACCCCCTTTGGTTTTATTGCAGTGCTAAACCAATGAATATTTTCAATAATTATTGCTATTTCTTTCAAGTCAGCTCTGATACAATACTATTAATGCTATTAAGGGACTGTTCGTTATTTATGTGAAGGGAGAAGGTAGAACAAAAAGGGGGAGACATGTCAAATAACTTTTTAAGCAATGGGGAGGGACTTGTTTTTTTATTTTGGCCTATAGGAGGGGAAAACGACTGTAAATAACCATTTATCATGGCCAGAAACTGTAAACACAGAAACCATTGTTGAAATTCTCACATTTCCAGCAGTCCTTGGACACATCATGTGCAATGTGCTTCCTTCAGGAAAAAATAGCAAATCTGATTAGATTAACACATTTCAAATTAATACCTTTAATTTTAATACTTTTAAGAAATTTAATTTAAAAAATCCATCTTATTAATTTTAATAATAATAATTCCAATAATGATCCAAACGTATAATTTTGACAAGGGAGCAACTGCCATAGCCATTTTCAAAGCGGTTCCTTGAACGCTCACCTTAAGACATCTGAATGAAAATGTGTTCTATGGTACCCATGAGTCTCACCTAACTTTGGAAGGCTTGCTTTCAGTAAATGTTTTGTTCCTCATAGTCAATGTACCCCTTTAAATTAAAGCAGTATATTTGTGTTTTTTAGGAAAAGGACAACCCGTCACAGTCTGCTTCTCTCCCTCACCTGCAACCTGCTAGCCAGCCACGCCCCCTCATCACAACTCCACTCACCTGTGTACACAGCTGCTCCTCATCAGGACTTCCTGCATATATGCAGCTTCTGCTTTTCCCTCACTGCCAGATTGTTCTTCAACCTCATGCAAGACATTCCAGCACTCACTCTTACGTGATTCCCCGGTGCCGACCCTGCTTGTTCCCGACCTATGTCGTCTGTTTCCCGGTAAACTCACCAGCCTTCTGTCCCTGACCAGGAGTTCGGCCTCAGCGTCTCTGGTTTCTGTCTGCCTGTGGCTGTGTGGTGTTTTCCTGCCACAACGTTACAAAGGGAGTGTTCCTACCTGCTGTCAATCGCCTGCTGTGAGGCACCACACATTGCCTTGTGTGTGTGTCCTTCTCTTACCTACCTGCCGGTTCATTCCCTGGACCCTGAACCCAGAGACTGTGTAGGGGCTCTGCGCCTGAAGAATTAACTATCAGCTCATGTTCATGTTACCTTGTGTATATAATATAATAAAGTTATTACCAACTGTCTGCCGCCACTGGTCTGCTTTCTATTCTTAAGGTCAAAATGAACTTTAATGCTTAAAACAGCATTTATTTTAATTTCAGTGCCTATTTTGATTAATTGTCTTCATGAGAGCTTTGCCCAAACTTGCACAGATGTTCCTTTAACGCGGCGCCAGTTTATAAAGCAGAGCACGCGCACCGCGGAGGAATCTTTGGGCACAGACTGTAAAAGGAGAGAGTTTAGAGATCACCAGAAGAGTCTTTTGTACAGGTTGTTGTCTTCACTCAGCATGGCTATCAATCAATCAGCCCCAGCAAATGTTTGCGCCTGGATTGGGCCGCTATTCAAAGCTGCATGTATTAGCTTCGTTGGTTTCCTTGCTGTAAAGATGTGGCAGAGGTTCATGAGGTCAGAGAGCTACTCAAAGAGAGAGGCCCTCACACAGAGCACAGGACAGGCTCCTCCATGTGGTCCCCACTCAGGTGAAGGTGAACCCGATGCCAAGGCTTCTGAATCCTTCACGGCAGAACTCACAGACCAGACCTCCATCAGTACAGATGGAGACAGAGGAGCCACTCCTAAATGTGGGCGGAGAAAATGGCCTCAGCTCTCTGGAGGAATCACCTGACAAACAGGCAAGTTTGGATTATCAACAGGATTTTGTTTTCTGGGTACACCTTGTGCCAGATGTAGTATTTTTTATAATACTTTAGTGGGACAGCACAGTCTGGGGTACTCATGGGCATATAATGAGAGAATGGGCCCCTGGGCAGGGATATGTGAAAGGCCCACCACATTTTTGTAATGTATGTGGTAATGTGTCTTTTTAGGTCCTTTTGTGTCACTCTGCAGTCATTTGTGTCTCTTGGCAGTTTCTTTGTATCTCTTTTTGTGGCTCTTTGTGATCCTTTTGACGTTTTTCCTTCTCAGCATGTGTCAGTTTGAGTGATATTTTGCAGGTGAGGTCCAGGGGAACCCCCTGACACTTTGGGCCCCTGGAACCATGCCCATTCCTTAATCCATGGGTGTACTTACCAATACTTTACACTATGATATTTGGTACTTTAGAGGGCTTAAATGTGAGACATTTTAGGTAATTACAAAACACCATACGTAATTTGGGACACTGCAGGCTGATAGCTTAAAATGTATTTATTTTCAATTTAATTCAACTGATTTCAATTTTATTTGTATGGCACATTTTCATACAAAAGCATTTCAAAGTTCTTTAAATTGTAATAACATAATATTACCATGTAAATAATGAAACATAGACAATAACTGTTCACTGTTGTATTATTCTACAATTAGTTTAAAACAAGGTGTGCGTGGGGATGTTTAAAATTCAATGGGATAAATACCAGTGATGGAAATAAACAAAAAAATGAACACAACACTATGTTAAGATCTGTTAGTGAGCACTTCTGTTTTTCCAAAATAGTCCATCCACCTGACAGGCGTACATTGGAGACAGCTAATGATAATTGACAGGCAGCAGCTCTGGTGGACATTCCTGCAGTCAGCACACCAATGGCATGCTTCCTCAAAACTTGCAGCATTCTGTGTTCTGGAAAGAGACAGTGTTGCTGAGTTTTTTTAATGTATTATTTTGGGACTTTGAGCAGTGCTATCTAGTTCCATTGTATTTAAGAGAATACAGACATCTCTACAGCTGATATCTCCAACACTCAGCAACTCACACCAAAACAATCTAGATTGATAAATAGCACTACAGGTAAGAAGAAAAATATGTATTTTTAATTTTGGGATGAACTGTACCTTTAATTCCAAAGCCTTTCTTGCTCTTACTGTATGTCTCTGTATTTTGGTTCTCTTTTCTTTCCGGTCTCTTCCGGTGTTCAGGACTGCAATGGTGCACTGTGTGTGTCAGAAGGCAGTAGCAAGGCTTTGTACTGCAAAATGATCTGTCTGAGGGAGTTGGGACGACTCAGAGAAGCCTACGAATGTCTCCTCACAGCACCACATGTATGTCGTCAACACTGGAAATATTAAGAGAAATTAGTTCTTCCTCTACGATGTTTTAAAGATCTGTGTAAAATGAAAAGATTATCTCTAAGAAAATGGGTTAATGGAGATGGTGTGTGCATTAATTAATGCAAGTTTAGAAAAGAATAGTGAATTTAAGTGTCAGTACTGAGTCCACGGCCACAGAAGGGGAGAATTGTGGAGAGACTTCCCCACCCACAGGAGAGGTGGGTGCTGCTGTCACGGTGTAGAGCTGATTGTATTGTATTGATTGTATTTCCAGATCTTTGCTGAGCAACAAGTTTTGTCTGAGAAAAATTAAAGGCCTGTCCCCTATAGAAGCCCATCCCAAATAAAGGCCTGTTGAGTTCAGTGAATAAAGCAAATAATAGCCCGGGCTATTAATTTAGGTTTTATGGTATCTAAATAAATACAAATGCAAATAGGAGGTAAATATCTAAAGAAAATACAAATGTTATATGCTGTGAATAACCAAAATTAAATTAAGTGGGTAAAATTGGCCCCATCTCGACCAACTACAATATTAAAATGCTGTTTACACATGATTGCACTCTGCAGGTTTTTTTTTTTACTAATATTATACTGAAAATTTTGGTGATAACACAACTGTATTTTTATTGAAGCAACGTTTTACATTTTAAATATATGGCCTATAAGTGTAATGGAGTATTACACTGTGGTAACTACTTGTACTTAAGTAAAGGCTTTGATACCTAATGAAAATAAAAGCACAAAGCTCATGGAACCACAGACTGTATAAATAAATGGAAACTAGCGCCAACAGAGCATTGACACAGTTTTTGGTGCCCTCCTGTGGCCACATTTCTCCTGGAAACTTGTTGCAATACGGCACTGGCACTCACTCCAAACAGCTAGCAGTTAGCTAACAGCTAGCTACCGTTAGCTAGTCAGTATCCAGCAGCAGTCGTAGCGCAGAGACACCCGTGCTCCGTCCACATACCAATGACAGAGACACTAAACTTACAGATATGCGCCTGGACATTGACTGATATATTTTTCTGTTTTTATCGCTAAAGCTCTGTGAAGCTATCTCTGATCTGAAAAGCGCTGTAACTTAACTCTCGGTGAGTTGCCGTGCTAAGTGAGAGCTTTGGCTGTTAGCCGGGGCTCCACTGGTAAATTAAGTTAGCTAACTTACCTGGTAGCTATCGTAGTTAGCACTGGGTTTATTAGCGGTGTAGCCATGTGTGTCAGCTCAACAATAATTCTTTGTAAACTATAAATGTAACAACACGTGACTTCAAAAACATTTTTGAAAGCTAAATACGGTTTATTAATTTCTACAACGTTAGCTAAGCTAAATTACAGTGATAAGCATTCAGGCTGAGTAAGTAGCGTTAGCTGGCTAATCCTAACAGCCGATAGGTAAACCCTGTTAGGGTTAGCGTTACCTACACTAACGCCATTAGCAGCTAACGCGATGCAACTTGTTTATTTTACATGCATTGCAGTTGTAACGTTTAGTTAAAGTTGACCTGTAAGCTGGCATGTTACACGCTAACATTCGCTAACGGTATCATTTTCCAAACATTGTTACAGCTGATGTGTAAACCGTGTATGTAGCTAATGTTTTGATGCCCCCTCCCCAAAAATGTCCGCAATTTATGCGTCAAATACTTGTTGGGGGATTGTATCATCCTGAGATTATCTAAATGTTAACGATAACATGTCGCCAGCTTCAAGGTTACTGGTCCCCGCTGTTTACGCAAGCCCGATGATTGCTTAGCGTGTTTAAATGGCAGGCCTTGGTTTGTTCAGGGCGACTGCAAGTAGTTAGCAGGGTTTGCAAAGGTGTTTATTCATTGTAGAATATAACCATATCTATAGGATACTAATATTATACTTGGGCACAGTAACCGTAGCTGTCAAAGCTGTTAATACTGTTGTGTAGGGGAGTTTTAAACTGTTGCAAGTCAACCTTGTCTTTCCCCTCAGGCTATGGATCCTGAAAGACAGAAACGAAGAGAGGAAATTCAGAAAGCCATGAGCTTTATTCAGTAAGTGCACACATAATATTGACTTTACAACTAATTACAGGTATCATGAGCAAAGTGCACACACTTTAGTATATTGAGAACAATGACAGCCTCTTCATTTTCTCTCCACAGGTCATCATTGCCTTTCCCAGAGCCAGAGAGTTATGAGGTGTGCATTGGTCCTTTTCATGCCAGTTTTCTTTTACAAATTTTAATCAGCAACACACACCTACAATATTTACTCACAGAGTCCACCATGACCATACTCTCATTTTGTTCTATCATCTCTTGGACTTAGATGAAAATTTCAGCTGAGATATTGTAATTGATCTTCTCCTCAATAGTTTTCTGTCCTACTTCTTTCTGACTATCTCATATCACCCTCCTAATATATATATTTTTTTAATTTAACCCCCTCCCTCCATCACCCCCACTCATTATTCAGTCTCAATTTGACCTCCCTCTACACGTTCCCTTCAGGCATTTCTGACCCAGTTGGTGTGTAACTTGCTGGACGAGGGCAATTCCTGCTTTCGAGATGGAGACTGTCGTCAGGCGACCCAACAGTATGGGGAGGGGATCAGTGTTGCCCGCTACGCTCAGGCTGAGGCCCTAGTCATCCCCAGCGAGCTGCTGGAGAGCCTGTATGTCAACAGGGCTGCTGCCTGCTACCAGACGGTGAGGGAAAAGGGGAAACAGGATATGTGACTTGCAGATACATATGTGGACAAATGGAAGATGCAGTCAGAATGTGTATTTGTTTTATACTGAAAACACTAATATTTATGAATAATTTTCAGCTTTGTTATGTTTAATTTTTTTTAACAACATAGTTTCCTTTATACAGTACTGTATTGTATGAGAAAGATAGAATAGAAAATGTTTGAATTTTTAGACATAGTATCTGAGTTAATGCGGAGGAAAATCCAGGCTTTTTTAGTCTGTGACTCGTCTAATTTGTGGCTGTTACAGTATCAGGATATTGTAGCCAGTTTGTTACCAGTTCACCCCCATATATACCATAAATACACATTTTTCCTCTTCCCCGTAGTATTGTTTTTTAAATCTAGCAAGTAGCACGAGCAGGAACATTTAATCCATGGGTAGATGCACGCATCATTTTGCGGGGTGATACAGTTGGCGGATGCAGTTTGGTAGTAAGAAAATAGTTCCTACATGAAACTGTTCACAACAAGATCTGTGGATTATCTTGAGTAACCAGATCATGATTTCTGGAAAGAGACATTGCTGTTTAGTTTTTCCAATGTATTTTTTGGCACTTTGAGCACCACAAGCTGAGTGTCATCTAGTTCCCTTATATTGGAGAGAAGGCAGACATCTCTACAGCTGATATCTCCAACACTTGGCAACTCACACCAAAACAATCTAGATTGATAAATAGCACTACGGGTAAGAGTAAAAATCTGTATTTTTAATTTTGGGATGAACTGTCCCTTTAAATTCTGAAGCCTTTCTTGCTCTTACTGTGTATCTCTTTTTTTGTTTGTTTGTTCTCTTTTGGGTCTCAGAGGGAGTTTGAGCGTGGTGTTCAGGACTGCGACAGTGCACTGTGTGTGTCAGAAGGCAGTCGCAGGGCTTTGTACCGCAAAGCGATCTGTCTGAGGGAGTTGGGACGTCTCAGAGAAGCCTACGAATGTGGAACCAAATGTCTCCTCACAGCACCACATGTATGTCATCAACACTGGAAATATTAATAGAAATAGAGTTCTTCCCCAACGTTGTTTTAAAGTACTAGTGTAAAATAAAAGATTACCTCTCGTGAAATTGGTTAATGGAGATGGTGTGTGCATTAGTTAATGCAGGTTTGGAATAGAATAGTGAATTTCAGTGTCAGTACTGAGTCATGGATATGTTTTACTTGATAACTTTGGAGCTACCTCTTAATAGTTTATTGTAAAGTGAATGATACTGATTGTTGGTAAATGGAACTTCTTGTTGTGATTAATCTTCCAGGACAGGCAGGTGACTGAACTGGCTCAGGATCTGGCCACTAAACTGGGCCTGAAGGGCCGTAAGGCTTACGTCAGCCCACAGACGGAGTCCACGGCCACAGAAGGGGAGAATCACGGAGAGACTTCCCCACCCACAGGAGAGGTGGGTGCTGCTGTCGCGGTGTAGAGCTGAGCTACATACTTGGAATGCCGTGACTGAAGGAGAGGCTAATCATGTCTTATTTTTTTCTCTTTCCTTCAGATGTCCTCCAATGGGCTGGAATCTCTGGGTGACATTGGACCAGGTATGAGAGACTGGCACACCTTGAACATGTCTGCTCCTGCCCACATTCCCACCTGTTTCTCATATTAATTTCCTTCTCATCATCACTTTTTTCCATGCTCCTCAGCAGACCTGGCTAACGCACAGTGTATCCCTGCTCCCTTGGCCACACCCATCCCAGTCAGCGATGACCCAGCGTCCACTGTGGTGACCCCATGCACTGACCTGTCAGAGAGCCCCAGCAGCCAGGGCCTGCCTCCCATGCCGTACTCCGTCCCTGTATCGGAGCACATGGATGAATGCAGCAGCAGCGTCATGAAGGACGAGCTAGACAGTCTGCTGGAGTGCATCCCCAAGAAAGTCAGTGAGGTTAGAGAAGGAGAGATGTGCAAGAGATCAACCAGTCATACACCACTGTTTTTACTTTCACATTTATTTCAGCACAAAAATTGGTCTTTTACTGTTTGTCATTTCTGCTTGATTTAATTTAGAAGTGTTATTTGTAGTATGTTTCTTTAAACAAGGGGAAGGCAGAGGAGTCTACACTGGAGAAAATCTTGAGGTGGAATATGATCCTCATCCCTCTACATGAAGTAATTCTATTCTTGCCTCTGTTTTTCTCTTGATCCAGAGTCCAGTTCAGGGTGCTATCCCAACCAACCTCCCCAACACAGCGGTGGGTCTCCGGCCTCCGTACTCCCCAAGCCTTCCAGCCCCGACACCCCAGCTGCCCCCAGCCTTCTTCAGCTCCTCCATCGGTGACATGCCCACTCTGGAGCCCTACCCGCAGCTGGCCCAGCGGGACCAGGGCTCTACCCAGGCGCAGGACGCACTGGGAGGCTTCCCCACAGATGGAGAAGGGAAGTCAGGAGTCGCTGCTGGCGGGCTGGATTCGTTGTCTGAGTACACTCTCCCTGGTGAGGAAAGAGTCTTTATCTTAATATGTTATTATGTTGTTTTTTTTTTTTAATTTCAATCACTAGAAACCTTGTACATTTTAAGATCATTGCACATGGCATGCTCATGTTTACTGTGATGGTTCACATACCAAAAAAACATTAGAGGGACATCAAAGGGAAAAGATACAATGTTTGAGTCGACACTAGAATTACACTGGAAATAGGACTCCTAATAATGTTGTAACCCCACATATTTTAAAATTACTTAGTGCACCTTTAACTCAAATTTTCTGCTCAAGTGTATGTCAACTCTATGACTTTTAATTCTGCACACAGTACAGCATGCAAGCTATAAAAAAAAAAAAAAATCTACATTTAATTGACGCACACACTTTTTGAGCAAGTGCAATGTCTTAGCTTGCTCTTAGTTATTAGAGCACAGCTCCTAGGGAGTTGGCTTTAACCTGAGGTGCGTCAGCAGCAGACGGTGTGAGTCAGCACCATCACAATATGGTGTCTGACATCATTGTCCTTGTGTCTGTGGTCTTCAGGGGGACGAGTGTGTCACAGCTTCATCCCTGGAATGCGCAACCACAGTGCTGCACATGCAGTAAGTAACACACACACACACACACACACACACACACAGTCACACATTTGCATCATTTCCTGCAAAATTTGTGCTTCTTTTGACAAATTATAGTGTTAAACTTGTGTTTGATGTTATGTGGATATAATTGTGGTATATTTATGTAGCCTATATTGGAATTATATGTGAAAATTGAACAAATAAAAACCCTTAATCTGAACTTTATTTAAAAAACATCATAGAAATGTCACATCTTTAGTTGAGTATAGACAGCACCCAAATCCTCTTTACCTATATCACCTGTAACAAGTTAATCAAATGTGATATATGATTGTGCTATGTGATAATCCATAGAAAAATAAAGGAACACTCTGAGTGCTTTCTATGACATTAGAAATACTTTCAAAATACTAATATTTACATAAATACAAAAACTGCTAAAATACACAGAGCTATCTACAGTGCCACAGCCCCACCTAGTGGAAAAGTCACACCATGCCACTGTTGTATGATTTCAACACAGTGATGTTGTTCACAATGAAGCATTATAAGAGGTAAAAAGGATGCGTCCACCTAGATGCTTTGATAGTGACTTAAGTGTGTCCTGTTGTATCTAGCAGCGTCACTGAAATGGTGCCAGTTTTTATGAATTAGCGGCAGTTTCTGACTCTAATTAGTTTTTGTATTTAATCTCTGTGCCCCCCTCTTCTTCAGAATGGTCCAGCTGGAACCAACCTGTCCCTGCTCTCCAGGAATCCTCTGGCAGCCACACACGAGTTCCGGCAGGCCTGTCATGCCTGTTACAGCCGAATAGGTCGGTTCAAGTCACCGAGCTTTGAGTCTGTTTCTCATACTAGCCTTTGACCAGTTTCTCTTTTCTTTCCTTTTTTACAAATGTTTAAAGTGGGATGATATAGTATCAACATTATTTATAGAATTTATCTCATCTTACAATTGTTATAACTTGTTTTACAGTGTAATTTAACCATCTCTTTCCTCCCCTTGTTCACAGGTCCACGAGTGATGGACTACAAGTATCAGCCAGAGGCAGCACACCGCTGCAAGAGGGATGTGCTGCTGTGCCGCCTCAAAAACACAGATGACCCCACCTGGAAGAGGATTCGGCCAAGGCCTGCACGGAACAACTTCCTGGGGGCATTTGTACTCTGTAAAGGTATGTATATAGTCTAACTAAAACACTTGAATATATGTTGAAGGTGGAAAATTAATTTGGGAAATAACCCCAACAGCCTAATGGAGTTAAAGTATTGAAAATCTGTTTCTGTATTCAGTCTGACGTTCTCTTTCTTTGGTCCCACAGAGGTGCAAGAGCGTCAGGAGTGCCAGTATGGGGAGAACTGTACGTTCGCTTACTGCCAGGAAGAGATTGATGTGTGGACCCAGGAGAGGAAGGGAGCCCTGAGCCGGGAGCTGCTGTTTGACCCGCTGGGCAGCACAGAGAGACGGGCGCTCAGCGTCACCAGACTGCTGCAGCTCCACATGGGCATGTTCATGTTCCTCTGTGAGGTGAGTCCACGGTCTGTGTTTCTCTTGTCCTTTTCGGTCTCTTCAGACCTCAACTTATGGAGCATTTCATCTAAGACTTTGACTAATTTACATGTCTTTTCTCTCTCAACAGGAATGTTTTGACAGTAAGCCTCGCATCATCAGCAAACGCAGCAAAGAAAACTTAGCAGTCTGCTCAAACCTCACAGCTCGACACCCGTTCGACGACAACAAGTGAGTGTAACAGGGTTTTTGTGTCTTCATTTTGCTGCAAAATAAGTTGTCAGGTTTATTGATAGTGTGATGAAATGCGGAGGTAATGTGATAAATGCACCTCTGTGTGCTGCAGGTGCCTGGTGCACGTGGTGAGGTCAGCCAATGTGCGCTACAGTAAGGTGCGTCCCCTGCACCCTCTCTGCCAGTTTGACGTGTGTCGCCACGAGGTTCGCTACGGCTGCCAGCGTGAGGACAGCTGCTCCTTTGCTCACTCTGTCATAGAGCTCAAATGCTGGGTCCTGCAGCAGGATACTGGTGAGGTCCACATACATCAGTCATCTTTTCAATTTGTTAAATATATTGTTACTGGAATTTAGGGATGCACAATATATATAGGGCCGACAAATTATCTGCTGATAATAGGACTTTTTTTTAATTACGTACTATTCTGATAGTTAAATTACAGTTGATAAATAGTGCTGATAATACAAAGCCAGTCTGCTTTCACTGGCTTAACAAATGCAGCAGCTGCACACCTACACAAAGGTACTGTTGTAAACAAGATGATAGTAAACACCAACAACTGACTATGAACACAGCATCGCGTGTTCGTTATACAGTATCTACAGTGAGCAGTGAGTCATTGAAGGGTTTTTCACAGAGCTGCTCTCTATTATTTCCCTCAGGTATCACCCATGAAGAGATGGTGCAGGAGTCCAAGAGACACTGGCAAAGGCTGGAGCAGAACGCACAGAAGCAGCAGAAGGTGAGACAGGAAAAGCACTGACACAGTGGGATCTCTGACACTTTTTTTTTTAGCAACAAAGAATAGCAGTGTACCCTTGCCCTGTGTTAAGTCTTACTAGAGTGAGGACAGCTGCGTATTTCCTCTAACACGCACGGCAGCCAGTCGGTTCTTTTCCCCTGAGAAGGAATTTCACCTGTAAAGCATAATGAGCATAGAAGTTAATGCCATCACCCCAAAGACCCTGCCCCAACAAATCAACAAGAGCTGCCACAAGAATTGTGGATTAAAAGCATTAAGTTACTTGTTAGATTTTTAAATGTTGGAGTAATTTTCGGGTGACGATTTGAGGGTAAAATCCCATCTATAGTTTGTTGTTGTGTTTGGTTTGTTTAGATGCCTGCTGTCTAATTACAAGTAAAACATGGCTGCCAAATTTAAGTCAAATTAACTCACTAGTTGCATGTTTATTAGTTTTTTTGTTGTTGCTTTGTACACATCAAACACAATCTCATGTTGTTTTCTGAGATAGATGAACAGCAGTCTGATACCATACTGCATGCCAACATATACTGCAATAGTTTGCATATACTTATTTTTCCTTGACAGTAGGGGCCGTGTTTGTGTATTCAGCTTCACCCAAAATGCAATTATTGTATGAATAAAAAAGCAAAACATAGTTAAATATGTAACGCAGTTCTGTTTTTGTCTGTTTTATCAACATTAACTCCATTTGTCTCTTTGTCTGTGTGTTTCAGCCTATCCATATTCCCCATCCGAGCAGCAGCATACCTGCAGGAGGAGTAGGAGGAATGGGAGGTGGGGGTGGAGGAGTCGGTGGAGAAGGCATGGGTGGGGGTGGTGTGGGCCCAGTGAGCGGGTTGGGTGTGGGAGGGTTAGGAGCAGGGATTGGCCGAGGACGCCCCCTCAACCTGAAAATGAAGTTTGTGTGCGGGCAGTGCTGGAGGGAAGGGCAGGTCAATGAGCCCGACAAGAACCTCAAGTACTGCACTGCCAAAGCACGGCACAGGTGAGGCCTGTCTCGGAGCAAAGCAATATGGCAGTGTTTCAAATCTGATTTTTAAGGCTGACTGCCCTTGTTTTGTTGTTCTTTTAAGGCTTTAGGTTTGATTTTTTTTTTTTTTTTTTTCCCTCCAATTCACGTCAACTCTCTTCTCAGCTGGACCAAGGAGCGTCGGGTCCTGCTGGTGAAATCTTTCGAGAAGAAGAAGTGGGTTGTCGTTCGGCCTCTGCCTTTCTCCCGCACCTATCCACAGCAATATGACGTGAGTCCTTGTACACTTGTTTTCTCCGCCCCTCCACCTCTTTCACATGCTGAGTACAGCTGACTCTGTTTGCCCTGGGGGACAGGTGTTGTTGTAAATCTTCTTACCCCTGTGTCTTATTAGCAGCTGCCAGTGTGTCTTTGACAGTGTTTTTATGTTGACACTGGCAACTGTGTTAGCTAACACAGGATTACCATGTTTAAGTCTTTAGAAAAAGTTAATTGTAAGGCATTTCAAACTCAGTATATTTTATCCAACTCTTCATCGTCAGAGGAATTGCAACACTAGTTTGCCTCAGAGGGCTTTACAACATACAAAACCTTCTGTCCTTTGACCCTCACAGCAAATAAGGAAAAACAACCCCAAAAAACAAAACTTCAAACAGGGGAAAAAATGCAAGAAGCCTCATGAAAAACAGACGAATGTGCAATAGATGTCATCTGTACAGAACAGACCAACATGATAAAATTATAGACAGTTTGGTATAAACAATCCATATGTCTGTACATAAACAACAACAAAGTGGCATTTTCACAACTTAAAGGGCTAAACTAGCTATAAAGAAACTCTGTTGCAATGATGTTGACCTTTTGTCTGTGTCTCATCCAGATGTGTGTGCATGTGATGAAGCAGAAGAAGTGCCACTATATTGGGAACTGCTCATTTGCTCACAGTCTGGAGGAGAGGGACGTCTGGACGTACATGAAGAACAACAGCTGTAAGCTTCTGGGTCCATCCAGAACCACTGTGTTGTGAGATCAGTGCATTTAGAGATTGTATACAAATGGAAAGATGGTATTTAAAGTGGCAATCTTGAAGATTTTAGGTCCATTCAATTTTGTGATACCTATAAATATTGCAATATTTTAATCAGTGGGCCATAGGCATGATCACCATTGTGTTACCTCATTCAGCAATAGATAGTAACTTAACAGGTGTTTATTTAAGTAAAATAACCTTTTTGTCTGTTACCACAGTCACGATAAACTGCATTGATTTTTGAAGTGCTGACTCCACTCCACTCGCACTGATTGTTGCTCTACGTCACACTGTATTCAAGGTTACAGAGATTGTCTTCTCTGTCTCTCTTCTTCCTCACCTCACTTCTCTGCAGTGAGAGACATGCAACAGATGTACGAACTGTGGCTGCAGCTCACCAATCAGAGTAGACGCACAGATAGCTCTGCAGTGACCCCGCCCCCAGAAGACAAGCAGGTCACCATAACAGCAGATTACACAGAAGGCATGGTGAGTGGTCATATAACACTTTATTACACAGGTTTGTTGAATACTTGATTCTTAATTGGTCAGTTACAGCATTCCACATTCTGTTATTTCTGAATAACAGACTGTTGCTAGGGCTGAATATTGTTAGAAAAACACCAATACCAGTGTCATTATAAAGTGTTACTGATACTAATAGCGTACTTTATAAGCAACCTTTTCGACTTCATCTTATACACATCACATGAATGGAAGCATTCAGTTGGCCAACTGTGTACTCCACAAACTGTATGAGTTGTAGCTGTTGCGGCAGTGGGCCAATCACATGTCGCATTACATGAAAGAACACTTGCAGTGATTGGCTGTGAGCGTAACTGTACAAATAGTCTTGTATTTACGATCTAGGTAGAAAAAGGAACAAATACAGGTATTGTTTGACTGGAAAAGTTTTGATGCTACTTGGTACTGGGTTATTTCAGTCGATACCTGAAATGAAATGAGTACTAATACCCAGCCCTAGTTGCTGGACGCAGCTCTGATAAAAGAAGCACAAAAATCATTTAAAAATCAATCATATGATTTTAAATCAATATTTAGTGTCAAGTTATTGATTTCTTTAGTAAGCAGCTGTGTGACAAGTTGAAGCAAAAAAGTCCAATATGTAAAGTTTGTACACAAACAGTTTATCTGTATGGATTACATTGATGCAGAATTGACAAGAATGCTGTTGAAATATGACACCTTTCATCTTGTGTTTCTAGAGTTATTTGTTTTTGTTGACATGTAAGGAATTGCTAATATGTCATATGTCTTAAAAGGAGTTTGGCGTATTGCTTTCCACCAAGAACAGGGTGGGAAATAATCTCAAAAGGGATCTAGTTGTAGTCTTTCAAATAGCGACCCTGCAAGATCCCCAGTCTTGTATGAATAAAAGAGGCATATTTTTCTTCAATGTGAGAGGCTGCCAGACAAAAGTCTTCTTGTGTATGGAAGGCATTAGTTTACGTTTACTGACTGCATCCCTGTTTGCTCAGTTGAAATGGTTGTTGGTAAGTGTGAGAGATGAGCTGTGTTGATGTGTATTGTTTCAGGGAGGCCGACGGTTGTCAGACGGGGACGATCTCTGAGTGTAGCTGTGTTGACTCGAGGCAGCTGATTGCTACTGAGCTGCAGACAAAGAGACGGGCCTGCCACACCAGCTACAACTGAACAGTCTGTCATCTCACCAGTCTGACCTCCTCTAACATCTAGCCAGCAGTGTGAGAACAGATGGACACACGATGAAAGGGTCGACCCCACCACCACATTAATACACACACACATACACACAGCACATGATGCACAAATCACAGGCACCGCTTAACACAGAGAGAGCTTTGTAAGTGAAAATACAGGACTTGGATTTGTGTTTTACTGTCATTCTGCAGTTACACTCAGCACATTTAGGTTCCCCTTCAGCAGATTATACCACAGAAATTCCACAGACAACTAGTTTTGCTCTGACTAAAATAATCACCTAGTTTCCCTAGTGCTCTTTGGACTGAGTATCTGTGTCCACCACCACCTCTTTTTAAAAACAAAATCCTCACAGCACTGAAACAATTCTTGTGGGCGCGCTGGTCGCAGCTCTTAAATCTTGCTTGGTGATAATTTAAGAAATGAATTGAAGCTTGGTACTCATACGCTAAAAGTTGAAATTTTAACTTTGGAGTGCCAGAAACACCAAGCCCACAGTGCTGGCGATGGCAACAGAGACTTAACCTATGAAGCATTGTAAAAAGAGGTTGTTGGTGGACACAAGTCGTTAAGCTGCATAACAACCAAATCCTCCTCTCCTTCCTTGGTGAGAATATTGCGAGAGGGTCAAAATAACTTACCTGAGATTAATAATTTAGAGCATAATTTTTTTGTTTTAAGGGGAGTTGTACTTCCCTGTTATATTGTCTGCCATATTGGTAGAATGCTATGAATGTAATGCCTGCAAGGGCCTTTAAAACTAGGAAATTAGTCATTTAAAACGTTGCTGTGGTTGTGGAATGTATGAAAGTATACTTAACATGCCCCAAAACAAACTTGTGTAACACGACAGCCCCCCCCCCCAAACACCTCTCCCCCAGGTGTGAAGGCCTATTGATAGCTGGATATGTAATCAAACCAAGCGACCCTGCATGGGACCCGCAGAGACACGCACACACACTCACATAATAACCTTGTAGTTGCTGTCAGCTGACGTCCAGGTGACTCAAAACATGCTTGAATGTCAGCTCCTCTCAGGTTGACATAAACACCTGTGGCTAAAGTACACATGGCTAATGGCTCAGAGCAGCTGTTGCCAAAGCGACCATCATGTACTTGAAACTATTGGTAAGGAGTTGGCAGGTGTGAAGCTGGTGTAGGAGTCAGAGCAGTGACTGCAGTGTATGAACAGTCCTTGCTAGAGTGGCTCTCAGCATTAGATCAGTTCAGACCGCAGATGCCCATTAAAAAATGATGACCTCACTTGGACTGAAGCATAGTGAAAATACTGCCCGTGAAGACGACTTTAGTTGTGGGAAGAAAAAGATGAGTTTTGTAATAGTTAAGAGAAAAAAAAGATAATAAACAGAGGACAAATCTGTGAGAAAATAACTAATGAAAGAAAAGCAGGATTATTAAGAATGTATTTTTCTATAGTTGATTGTGAGAAGATATTTAAGATATGTTAAAAGTAAGGGCAAGTCGCCATTTCTTCACTTGAACTGGGGTCATCATTTCACTGAAAACCAACCGCGCCCCCACGGCCTTCAAACGGAAACCCGTGTTCCTCATATGCATCCAGACGTTGCGTTCCTGACAGCTAACAGTAGCTCCTAATATTAACCTTTTCATGACGGGGAACCTGCTAGTCTGAGGCAGGGGAACTATGCTCACCACATATTGTGCCTAGAAACAACACATCAACATGCAACACCAACACACACACACACACACACACACACACACACAAAAACGTGTACACACACAGAGGCAGGATATCTGTTGCCATCTTATTCTAGCCTTTAATGCGGATGGAGACACAATGGAGGTATGTTTATATTCAGATACGTATACACACATATTATACATATTTACAAATAATGGTATACTACTAATAATAATTGATAACTTAGCGGTTAAGCTTAATAAATATATAACCTGAAAACCTGTATTGATTACATAGAAGAACTTCTTGTTATTGAGGTATTGCTATATGACATGTATCGCTGAACTAGATGACTATAGTGATTTTTTTTTTTTTTAAATGATCCTTTTTATTTTGTAATTTTCCTTCTGTGTGGGTTGTTCCAGACAGGGTTTGTATGGAGGGGTTGAAGCAGATTGATTTTTAAGGCTGAATGTGTTGCAGTAGGGTTAAACCTTTAGGCTGAGAGCAGAGGGGAAGAAATGGAGCGACTCGCCCAACTTTAGAGGGTATTTTTTTCGTTGTTCACAAGTCCAGCAGCTGAACTGGATGTACACATTATGGCATGCTCCTGTTCTGCAACACATTTCTGTGAAGCTGCAATTTATATTTGAAGTATTCATCTAATTTTCCTGTCCGGAGTGACCTCGGCTCACGCTTAAATCAACAAATGGCTTCAATTCCCAACATACTGACATTAAACTCATCCTGAACACCATGGCTAACTGGAGCAGACGTTTAAAAAGTGTTAAAAAGAAAGCAAAGATCTTAAACCACAGTATATGGGTGTTTTGTGATGTTCCATTGTGTCTGCAGTTAGTGAATAAATAGAAAATAGAGAAATGATTGACACCAAAAGCTGCAGTGTCTTAATTATCCAGCTGTTAAAAACTGACTTTATGCCTGATCAGTTTAGACGGACAGCCCCAGCTTAGGCTGAGCCTAAAAGCAGATCTCAGGTCAGTGTTGTTGGTCACTCAGCAGCAGTTTTTGGGGGATTGTCGATGACGAGCCCTGGTCTGGAACAGCCCCTGGTATTAGCTTCTTCAAGGGATCGTATTACTACTACTCCTAGTATTATGATGAATATGATGACGATAATGATTGCTATCTATTGACTATTTCTATTTCTTCTCTATATGCTATTGATATATGTATGTTAATTGCAATGTATAACTCTCTTTATATATGTATCCATGTATGAATATAATAATTAACAGTAAATATGCATCTGTGTATGCAGCGGTGCACAGCTCTGTCTGGGAGGCAGTGAGCAGAAGACATCCAATGTGAGGCTCCTGAGTTTTTAACCCTACAGGTGTCGACAGCCACCTGTAGGCTGTCAGTAGTAGAAGACATTTCACATAGTACAGTAGACCTGCTCTTTATTAATGTTGTCTGAGCTCTGTTTGTAAGCGTCGGGATTATTTGGGCACTGGCCAGAGAAAAAAAAGAAGATAGTGGATTCAAGTTGACACAATATATATATATATATATATACATACAGTTTACTGTCTCCCCTTTGTCTCAGTGTTGATAAGATCAACAGAGCTCGCTGCTCACTGCCTGTGCTGTGCGCTTTTGTTTAAATTGATACACCAGGCAAAGACAGATCTGGAAACAAAAGCATACATAGTAGCCTATATACTCCCGTATAGCGCCTTATTCGATATACTACACCTATAAGATGATACATACCCCTATTGTATAATCCTGCTTACTATATACAGTATATGATACCTGATACCTATTATAATACTTAGACACCCTTATAAGGTAATTTAGATAAGAGATGGTGGAGCTGTTTTTTTCTTTCTGTGGCTGTGGAAGAGTTTGCTGTGGTCAGTAACGTGTACCCATCTTGTTATTAGGAGAGTGCCACACACTCAAATGCTCTCTTTCATTCAATTGTTGTCCATTCAGGATATTTGCAAAGTAGCCGGAATTGAAAATGAACATCAGTCTTAATTTTGGTAAACAACTGAAAGATGGAATTTGATTTTAAAATTCCATTTTGTGACATTTAACCGTGAATATGGCAGCCATTTTTAAATGTATTGGCCAGTGTTACAAGTGGACAAAATTGGTACATTCATGATTGAATTCCTGCCTTTAAAGACACGTTGGGAGTAAATCGTTAGAGCCACACAAAAAAGGCAGAGCATTTGAGGGAAGGCTCCTCTTCCATTGTCGGAGAAAGGCACTAATGATGTAACTGAATTGCACAGAAAATTAGTGGAACCTGTGCTGCATGTTCAAGTGTGTGTGCTGTTGAAGGCAGGCGAATCATGACACAAACTTAAGTGAAGCAGGTTTCAGCAACTTTGTGCACACATAATAAATCTTGCACAGTAGTTTTACACAGTAACTCCGATTTTCCGTTGTAAGCAAACTCACAGTGCAACTCAGTCACCTTACCAATTACAGCTGATTGCTGTTCATGCTGAACAGGTAAGGGAGCCAGTTCATTAGATCTGAAGTTTGCTAGGCAGGAGTACTTTGACCCTGGTGCCAAAATCCCTGCATGAGTCTATTTATGATAAAACAATCCAATTTGCACATTGACTACAATTATTGTATTTTCACATCTTGCTGGTCCTGCATAACAAGATTAATGCTATGGACCAATCAAAGCTATGTAGAGACTGTGTTGGAGATCATGCTGCAACCAAGACAACAACCACCTCTCACTTCAAAAGGCTCTTTACGTAATAAGTTTGTGTAGCGTACTTCGACCCTGGTGCCAAAATCACATTGACAACATTCCTCTTATTTTTTAACGTCTTCCTGGTCTTGCATAGCACGATTGATGCTTTGCATCAGTCAGAACCAACTAGAGATAGTGTTCGGAGTTATAATTCAACCCATAAAAGGATCCTTTTACTTCAAAAGAGTCTTTATGTAATAATTGGATGATTTTGGTGGATTAACTGATGTCTAGAATTTTCTGTTTTACATCCTTTTCAACATGAATGGCAGCAATTAATGCTTAGCAAACTTGATTATATTATGCTTTGTATTACTCATGCTAACATTATTTACAGTGGCTGTGGTACAAGATGTGCAGGCTCTCTCATTGCCTTTCGTTCCATTATTCACCTAGTGTTATTCTCCCTGTGTGTAAGCACACAGTTGCGGCGGCATTTTAGTTATCATGCCCTCCTGCCTCCCCAATATACAGTTTGTGTCATTTGATTCCCAGCAGCAACACACACCGACACAGCCACACAAAAAAATCTTAATTTATCGGTTTTCAATCAGTTAGAATCTATTGGTTATTTGAATTGTTTAACAACTCTGATGGAAAGAAACCAGGGTTGTAAGAAGTGGAAAAAACAAGGCCTCTTTTTGTACTGTATTTTTACATTTCGTTGTTTTATTGTTTTATCTCCTTGACTTTGTTTTCTCTTTTCTCCTCCCTGGTTGGAAGTTCATGATCTCATTAAGTGGACCAAATCTCTTGAAAGCATTTAATAAACCGACTGTTTTAGAAAAAAAAATGTTTTTCCATTCACTCATTCTTAATTATAAATGGTTACTTTAAGGGTCAAATCACAAAAATCATAAGTATGTGGACACCTGGACATTACACTCTTATGTAATTTTTGCACATCTCATTTCAGATAATGCAGAATAGCTACCGCTCCATTCGGCTCAGTCTTGGCAAGGTGCTGGAAACATCAATGAGTCTATTGCCGAGCTTTCGGTCTATTTGACCTTAATCAGACCAATCTGCACATCTCATTTCAAAACAATGGACATCAATATTCTGCTATTGCAGCACACTTTTAGACTTCCCAGAGGATTGTGGAACCTGGCTGCATAGATTTGCTTACAGTTGGGCAATGAGGTGTTCGATACAGATGAGCTCAGGGGTCTGTGCAGGTCAGTGTAGTTCTTCAAAAGTACACAGAACTCTGTGTCCATATACTTTTGGCCATTTGTGTAGCTTTTGGTTTATTCTTGGATTCTGATCTACTCCAGTAATAAGCCACTTATCTTGCTTTGGATATGGAGTTGATATTCTACTCTACAGTTCATAGTAGTGTCCTTTTTTAAACAAACAAAAAAAATACGCTTGATACACTTATATTTTGCCAGATGTGAGATTTTGGCCAAGAATGTGAATAAAGCTGCTGATTTTGCTTTGTTACACTGCAAAACATGCCACAGAAGATGCAGCATATTTAGTACTATTCTGACAGAATTTAACCTGATCAACAAATTATTTTCCAGACTTCATTTTGGTTGCTACATTCCCTAAATATATGCAGCTATGCAGATTTAAAGTGCTTTTTTTTTTTTTTTTTTTAAGGGGGGGAGCAACCCCTGACCCCCCATTTTATAGTGTTCCCAATACTTCTCAAACCAAAGTTAGGCCCTTGGTAGTATCATAGTCTAATTAGAGGTGTTTCTATCACAGTTATCCACATAAACTAAATATAATTGAACGTCACAGTAATTGTTTTTTGTTGCAAACCGGTCTGACTGTTTCACTGTGTCACCTTGGAGGGTAAAAACAGTCTTGCACGTGTTCTGTGACCTACACAGCCAACACCCTGCCCCTCAGCCTGAGACCACCCATTGTCTGGGGTAAATAAATGTTGTTTCACAGACGTTTTTCTCAGAGACCATAACTTGTACAACTTTAAAAATGAGTGTAATTGACGCAGGTGTGTCGGTAGCTGAGCCCTCATGCAGGCACACCCAGGTGGATATGAGTCAGTATGTATGAATGTAATTAGATTCACCTGTGCACAATGCGTCAAAATGTCTGCTGTGAGACACACACGTGTGTTGCCCCTGTACACGTGTATTATGTATACTTTAAAATACATTTCCCATGGGTCGCTGCCTGACATTTTAGAAAATACTATTGCAGTTAGCACTTTGAATGCATGTTAGCTTAAAGTTAGCATCTTATACTCCCTACTGTGTCACTGCAATCAAATATTTGAAATTAATTGGGTATATTTAAATATTATCGTTTCAGAACTCACCAAATTGTTATTTCGCTTTCTCTTTTTTATGGACAGACGCGTCAGGAGCTACAGGTGGTTATTAATTAGTATTCTGGGTGTTAATATTACATAACCGTCTGCTACGTTTAGGGTATAAACTTTTTTTTTTTTTTTTTAACCTTAGGTAATCCACGCGCAGCTCATGATTGGCTGTCAGCGCCGTGACGGGCACACTTGTAAACCAATTGGCGCTGGTTCCGTTGATTGCTTGAGGGGGAGCATGCCGCTGATTGGCTGCGGGGGTGTTGAGTGGGCGGGCCTTGTTAAGTAACTTGGGAGAGTTCACGTATGAGCTGTTATTTTGATAGTCTCAGCAAAAGGCTGGTCAAGTCCCAGGCAGGCTTTTCTCTTATTTTACAGCATAATTGCTTCTCGTGAGCTGCCGACCAGCTCGTAAATATCTGTCGATTTTTAAAAAGGGGGAAACATGTCTACAGAGATCCCGGAGATATTCAGGGCGCTTCTTGAGCAACCATTCACTCTCCCCAACTTTGACGATAATGGTAAGTGGCTGCCGAAGTTCATAGGGACGTGTTTTAAATCAAGCCATGCAATATCGTGACTTAAGAGTTTGTTTTAATGGAAGGACAATTGCTGATGTAGGATTGGCGTTTTAAAATAGTTTCTGAAATGTCTGCAAACAACTGCGTGATTGTTGCATAATCCCTGTCAGCTGAGCTGGATGGGAATGTGTGCCAGCTGCTGGACTGCAGGGGTCTGCTTTTTGGCTTCAGTGTCCAGCGGTTAGTGGCGTACATTAAAAAAATAAATACCCCTCAGAGACGGTGCTGATTGAGTATTGCCTCATGGCCCAGACAGACAGGCCGCTGCAGCAGAAGCTATGTGATGACCGACACTTGGCACAGTTTCTGACTGTCTGTTGCAGCTGAGTGATATGATCAGTGATTGTGATGCCTTTTTTAAATTACTCTAGTCAATGCTTTTTGACACCGTCACCCCAAATCAGAAATGTGCAAAAGTTGCAATAACAAGTCCTCAGTTCTTTGCATAATCGCTGTGAAATACCCAGAGGGGTAAAATGTCAGTTCCTAAAAGAGACCTATCCACATGCATAGTGAGCATGGTTTGTCTGCATAGTCACTAGTCTGTCAAACCAGCAGGACCTCTTCATCCTGTTGCATCTTTGTTAAACAAATTAAACAAGTGCCCTGTAATACCAACTGGATCCTGCAGCAGTTGTCAGAAGCGCACCTATGGTGATAGTTGAAAGGAGCTACTGTTTTTTTCCCCCCCTACACTAATCCTGTCCCAGGGATGTGTTGATCAGATAAAAGAGATCACTGCATACAGCATGGTAATACAATTTTCCTACAACCCAGTCTGTGGGATCTGTGTTTGTTCAGCAGTAACCTGATGGGATTTGAGCTATTGGCTTGGATCGAATCTTGAAAATCTGTCAAAGTAGACCCCAGGCAAAGTAAGTTAAGCACCCCTGCCCCGAGATGTTTGAATGAAAACCACTTACAGTGACCCCACACTGGCTGTTCTACCTATTGTTCTTTATATAGCTGTATCAGGGTGATCTAGCCCAATGTTGCTTTGAAACATCTTTACAAAAAAATGGATTAGCTGATCCTGGATAGCAAAATTGTGTGTGTGTGTCTCTCTGTGTGTGTATAAGGTTTAGAGGGGCTAGTGGACTTTGTAGAGTCGTGATTGAATCACTAGATGGCTCTGTTTTCCTTTCTAGTCTGGGCCATGTTTAGATAGATTCGATTAGAGTCAAGTAATATCATTACACTGAGAGGTGTGTTGTTGCAGTTGGCCCCATTTCACAGGATTTAATAATCACTTGTTAGTCTGTGTGTGTTTTCAAATTTGGCACAAATGTCCATTTTGAGTCCAAGATGAACTGATTAGAATTCGGTGCCAAAGGTGATTAAATGCTAATAATGACAAAATTTCACACTAATGTCAAGTAGGATAAAATGAAGAAATGATGTGAGGTCAAAGGTCAACTTCACTGTGACATCATAATGTTCTGCAAAAACACTTTTCTGGCCATGACACAATGTCATATCTCAGGAACAGAGGGGGAGACATTTGGTCAGATACTGAACTGGTGACACTAATCTTGGGTGTCCACCTTGTAACTGTGCTGGTTGTATAGCTCTTCTGTGCTGCTGGGAGGAAGATGTGTGTGAAACATCCATGTTTTCACAGACATGGATACAAACTGTTACTGCAACTTGATGGGTTGGTGGCCATTCTAGTTAAAACTGGTCCAGTATTGAGTGAGAGGGCTGCAGTTGTCAGCTGTGATACAGGCTGTGGAAAAAAACTCTGGGGGCATATGTGCACTGTCAATTTAAGTCTGTCAGGCCTACGTCAGTTAAAAAATGGTTATTCCCATTAGTGACTTAGACACAAAAACATTAAAAATACCGAAGTTACCTTTTAAGGCTTTCTAAATTAATTCTAGTAGTTTGGAAGAAGTCATACAAATGTGGGGGTGAAAATTTTTGGGTGAACTGGTCCTTTACTCCAAGAATTATACTCCATAATATGTACAAACTGTCAAAGTACCTCTTTACACAATTACATTGAATATTTAACACATGACATACACGCTAGTGACCACGATGGCGCAGATTTGCTCCAGGACCTTTCACGTGCAGATACTCAGCACGCAACAGAGGCTTCAAAGGCTTTTATATTTTTAGATTTTCTTGTTAGTTGTAGCACCTGCGGAAAAGCACTTTACACATGAACAGTGAGCATCACATTTCTCCATGCATATAATGTGACACAGGGGTCAGTAGTTGTTCCCTTCTGAATTTAGTTGGTATTTACTGTGTGCAATAATGACTTATGTGAGCACACAGAATCCATAAAGGTGTCTAAAGCAAAATATGCTGCAAACTTTCCTCAGCTTGTACATTTATGACTGTACAGTATATAAACATATGACTAAGATGACATATCAGTGAAATTCCAACTGCTTAATCATTTTGTACAAAACTGCACAGTCATGCTGACAATGGAGCTTGTTTTCAGAGAAATCCATTCACTTTTTATTAACTTTGCCAGACAGGGAAACCGCATTGTGGACAGATTAAATTTGTGGCCATGCCGCATCCGTGTGAGACAGACATCCCATGTTTTCTGCTGTGGTTTGTGGGGACTGTTATTTAATGTTCTATGATAACAGGCAGTTTATTGGAAGGTTCTTGAGGTCAAGAAAAGGTCAAGTTCCCAGGAAAGTTGCATACAAACTTAATAAGGATAATATAGCTTGATTAGTTATTGTAATGCCCAAGGTTTTAACTTAAATGAGGCAGTGTGGTACTAATATAGAAAGTGATGTTCAGTGAGTGCACTATGGTAGCAGCTAACCTTGAAGGCTTAGTCTCTTCTCATAATGTTAGACTAAAAACAGATTCAGTGAGACACATACAAGCAACATGGACCGAAAATATCACTGACACTAAAACGTGAGGTTGGACAGTGTGCACCTTGTTGTGTAGAGCTGCCTTTTGCAATTTACCACACTGATGTTGGTATAGAAATAGAGTGAACAACCCATTTAGTGTCATTGGACAGAACATTGGAGGATGTGGAGGGTGCATGTCTTGCACCGAACACTGAAGTGTATTTATCTGTCAAAGAAAACAGGATGTACTTGCATTAGAATCATGTTTTGTTGAAAATTCACAAACAGCTATATAAAAACATTTAGACAACTGATGGATGGACAGAAAATTAAATAGGCAACTACTTTGATAATGGTTTGGCATTTTGCATGCTAACACATTTCATGATTCCAGATTCTTAAATGAAAGGATTTGCTGCTTTCCCTTTCAAGCATTAATTATTTCGATTGATTAAACTGATTGTCTGTATTGAGTACTTTTACCCTGAAAGTACCTTTTCCTAGTAGTAGCCTACTTGTACTTTAATTTAAGTCTCATTTTCAATGCAGAGTATTTTTTTTTTACTTGAAGTAAGTGAAGGGTCTGAGTGATTCCTTCACCACTTCATATCACACATCAGGATTAAAAAGGCAAAATATCTCAAGCAAGCAAGCAGTTGTTGTGAGACTGATCCAGTACTGTATGTTCCTGTGCTGTTGTGGCGACTCTTGATTAAATAACACAGATCATCAGATGTCCCTGGGAGGTCTCCCCGGGCCGCAGCAATCCTCTGCAACAATCTTAAACCTCAAGGTTCTGCCTCTGTACGGCCATTTGCTCTGTTGCACCGCTCCGCCGCCCCGCATGCATATTTCTGAGGGACATAGACAGAGCTGCAGCTCATTGGACGGAGCCTGTAGATATGTAAGGGCGGCAGCCGCACGTGTGTTTGCATGTGAGAGGTGGTGCAGCAATGCAAGGACAAACGTGAACTATATGTTGCATGTACGTCCTTTGTGTTGTTTAAATTGTGACGAAGTTGCAGGATAAAAATGGAATCATGTGTTTAATATGTATTTCTAAAGATGGGTCTGGATGGTTTTACTTTTTACTCATCATACCTCACTTAAAGATAAAAGGCCAGTCCACCGTGCTGTCTTCTGTGACTGTATATAACACACTTAAAAACTTCGATAAGAAAAAGAACTTTAGTAAATGACACTGATCACTGTAGAACTAGTCTCGCAAAATCATATTTATCTCGCGTTGCTGCAGGACCAAAATGGATATAGGTCACAGGCTGCTTATATTAATGCACGTTGATGGTTTGGCTCGTGACCAACATGTTTTTCTTTAATGTGTGCTGCGGAACATTTATATATAACTCGGTCAACCAATGAGATCTCAGCTAGTTGCGGCGTGACAACCGCTCTGATTGGCTCCTCGCTGGAAGTCACCGCCCCCTACTTAATATTCATAAACAGAGGGCTCGGCTCGCGTATCAACACAGAGTGGGCGGACATTTTTGACGAGGAGGTGCGGTTTGTTATCAACACCGAAACCTTTAGACGACCAGAATTTCTATAAGTAGGCTATCGCAGAGGATTAGGGATGCACTGAAGGTCGTTGTAAGACTTAAAGCGCAAATTTTGGATTTTAAAAAGACTAGAAACACCGTGTGACGACGGTGATACCAGCTTGATAGCAAACGTTACCGAGCGAACAGGCCAGCTGCTGAGCTTGCTGCTTTGCCAGTTACCAACGTTAGGTCGATAACGTTAACAACAAGGAAGGAAAATGTCGGTCGAGCCGATTATTATCAGACTAGAAACGGCCACTGGGGACTCGAGTACATTCCCGGTGGTTTTGAAGAAGATAATGGAAATGCCTCCGCCGAATATTCTGGACGGCGACGACGGTGAGTACGGCAACGTTAAATGGACGGAGGGAAAGGAGCGATGTAGTATTAGGTCAAACTGCAGTTGAGCCTGTGACCCCAGTGTAGTTAAATATGTGCAACGATACTAACTCATGTAACGTTACACCATGCATTATAGCACAATGTATACAGGCCTGTATTCTCTGGAGTCTGTGACCCAGTTAGTGAAGGGGGAACTGGCTGTTTGAAGCACTGTGAAACTGTTGTGGCTCACTGTTTCTAAGCGTTGGAGACAGTAAAAAATGACGACTTCTGCTGGCAGGCCTTTGATATTGCACTTTTGTGGATGGAGTAAATTGAAGACCACGATGAAACAGTCCAATACAAGTGGTTTTCCTGCTTTCATTGTTGCCTTGTGTTGTCTTGCGTCGATACTTACACTTTCTATGTCTGCTAACATCACTAACAGACCCACCTCACTATTTAGACTTTTAGAGGCACGCGCCTAATTTTAAATGCATTATTCAAAGAAAAATCCCAAGTAAATTAAAAATCTGCACAGAATACAATTCTCTGCAAAAGGAATATTTGTGTTTAAATTTAAAGACACTCAACTTTTGCAAAATACAGTCAATCGACAGTTTCAGAATCTGTGTCAGACTAATGTCTTGAAACAATGTTGGTGGAACATTATTGCTAAGGTACTGCCAAAACTTAAGATTTGTAAATGGTTTGTAAGCAAGGAGATAACTTAGCCTCCACCCCCAACACCTTCCACTGTGGTTTGGTGTGGTGACAACAGCAGTACTGAACAGGAGTGGAAATGTACTGGAAAATGGACATGTAATGATAGTGAGTAGCAAACTGACTGACTGTGAAAAAACTGAAACATTACCTGTATGTCTTCACGCTTCACGCTGGTTTTACTGGTCTAGGTACTGTATGGACTGTATGGGGCCCATGAACTATGAGCTGTTTTATGTCTGTAATGTTTTCACTGTGGCAATGGGCTTTGAAGCTGAATTCGTAAAGTGTCTCAACTGTGCCCTTGGTTGGAATTGGTTTGAATTTTTGGATCTTTGTAAAATAAGAGTATGGTCCAGACCTGCTTAAAAAAAAGAAATCAACTGAGATAAGTTACGATCTGGCGCTATATTATTAAACTGAATTTGACTTGACTTGACCAAAAAACATTTCAGTCTGGTCATAAAACTCGCATAGGGTGGATCTATAGTCCATTGATATCCAGACAGCATGATGAACCTGAGGTGCTCTGTAGGAAATTGCTGTTGAGAATTGCATTTGTGGCAATTTTAGGACTGGTCTCTTTGTTGTAGAAAGGTGCAATAAAAACTTAGTGGTTGGGTTTTGTGCCTGAGGAACCTCTCTTAATGAGGTCTCTTTTGAGGGTAAAAGCAGACATGTCCTACGTCAGGAACTCTCAATTTTGCTTGAGCAGTTTTCAGATAAAATAAGACAGAAAACTGCCTTCTGTGTCATGACAAATGTGTTAACCAATTTCTGTGAAGACTGTCTTTCATATATCTAACTGTGAATCTCTCCTGTGTTTCAGACACCGACAAGGAAAAGCTGTGTCTGGGAAATGATGTGGAATTGGGCGGGGGAGGAAGTGATATGGGCCCTTCAGCTGCCCTGACCCCTGCTATCTGGGAGAAAACCATTCCCTACGATGGTGAAAACTTCCACCTGGAGTACATGGACCTTGAGGAGTTCCTCATGGAGAATGGCATCCCCACCTTGCCTGATGAGGACCCCCAAAAGGGCAGCCCAGAAGGAGACAGCACAAAGAAAGGGAAAAAGGCTACGCCCTCTGTGCAGGTGAAGCATACCAAGCCAGCAAGTGTGTCCCCAGTGGCCCTGCTACCCATTCAGGAGTTGGACAAGTGTAGGGAGGAAGTGCTGATCATCAAGAGTGATTCTGATATCATCTGTGATGTCACTGCAGGTGAGTAGAGATTGGAGGATGAGAGACTAGAGGGCTGCAAGTTTTCACTTAACTCTTGCTAAATATGTATTTCACAATGCAGGATGTTTGTGTGAATGTCTGTTACCTCAAAAATCTTTGCATCTGGTTTCCGTACCATAGTTATGTACTGTATGTTCACTTTGCTATCTTTGCTATACAGGGGCACTAGCATCTATTTCTATCATCACAGCGAACCTTTACCACCATTTTGAGATCACTCCAGTGTAACCACATATCAGGTTTGCCTGACATCTGTGTCAGAGCAGAGTTAACTATGGGATTGTCAGCCAACATGTACATTGGTACATGCTGGAGTTCCGGTGTAAGTGTATGTGTGTGTGAGGGTGGATAGAACATGATGAATTAACACATCCGTCCAATCAAACACAAAAAAAACTCAAAATAAATGACTTAAAAATAAGTTATAAAATAAAGTTATATATAATAACAGTAAATTAGTGAAAGTAATGTTGAAGTAATTATATTAAATTAAAATAAGGGGATGGGGTTGTTGTATTAAAAAATTTGATAATGGCACTTAAGTCTGATTGCTCCAAGGATATCAGATGACTAGGTACAGGTTTGGTGTAAACTTCTTCCCAAAAGGCGATGACTTGGCCCAGATCTTTATATAATGTATGTGCTCATGGTGCTGACAGTGTCGCTGACCTTCAGCTTCATCTGTAGCCGTCTGATATTTAAGTTCACGTGTTTTCCTTCTCTCTGCTCAGAGGTGACCACTGAGGACAGAGCGACCCCTGAGTCCATCGACCCCGATGAGATTGAGGTCGAGATCAACTACGAGCCAGATCCCACGGACCTGGTCCTGTCGAGTGTGCCCGGAGGCGAGCTGTTTGACCCTCGCAAACACAAGTTCACTGATGATGAGCTCAAGCCACAGCCTATGATCAAGAAGGCCAAGAAGGTGTTTGTGCCTGAAGAACAGAAGGTATGCTGTAAAAGGGACAAGGGGAGCATCTTAAGCACAACAGTTCAGCAGTATGTGTCACTGTGTGTGTGGATAGTTTGTGTAATGGAAAACAACACAATAGTGAGCACTTTTCAAAATGTAGGACATTGATTTTGATGGTATTTTATGATCATTTTCCATTGGCCTCTGTATTATCTTAATACTGTAACTTTTGCAAATAAAAAATGAGTGGTTCTAGGGCTATGGTATGAGCATTGTGCTCTTAAAACCTAGAAAAGAGATTGTTTACTAACCTCAGAACATGCCAAGAAAAGCCTGGAAATTGAATATCATTTTTTATATATAT